GTACAGTCTGGTCGGGGGTAAGGGATTGGAACTGACTAGCATGACAGCCTGTCATGACCTGCACTAATCTCAACACCTATCTGACTTCATGGTTGGTCGCTCACTCATTCTCCAAGAGACATTCTCTGTTATTATATATGCACAGATGGAACACACATAGACGTCCATCAGAGCCCTCCGACAGGTTTCTCATGACACCATTGTTATTGTAGTAATGACGTGGAATGATGACTCCACCCAAAGAGTCCCCTGACTGCGCTTAAACTGACAATCTGCCGGCCCTGAACTCACCCGACCCGTCATTTCTCACTTGTTGACGGCAGGGCCAAAATAAGCTTGTAGAGGATTCACATAAACAACCAGGATAATTTTATTATTATTATAATTTTACTGCCATTGTAAAGGAAATAACTGGTACTATTGGAAGGGACTGGGAGGTCCTCTGTCAAATAAGCCAGAGCTGTTTAAATGTTTTGAATCAGACACTAAACATAAGTCACTAAGCAAAAAATACATCAATTTGAGGATTTGGGAAGAGTGAGTGTTTCTTTTCCAAATCTTCTGAGTTACATGTAAGAACTTGACCGGTCCTTAGCTGGAACACCTGTCAAATCTCAATCCATAACATCTACATAGATATAGGCTAACTAACAATGTGACCTGCTGTCTATAGAGACTTACGCCCCCACTCACAGTAGAAACAGCACATACTAAATCTATGGCAGTGAGGCCATAGATGTTCCACTACATAAGCAGCCCTATAGATATACAGCTGACCCAGTTTCTCTGGAGTGATAAGGTCCTGAGGTCACAAAACAGCATGTGTTTCTGAGGGGACATCTTATCTGTGACACAATGCCCACTGTACACCACCATCTTATCTGTGACGTGCTGCCCACTGTACACGACCAAGCCCAGCGGCAGGAGTAGAAAAAAAGAGCAGGGTGAATCACGTCTGTGCTCAGACACAGGATAAGACACAATACTTTTTCTCCTCCCGTGAAATACAGAGCAGGAAGCTCAAAGCGAGGAGTCACACTTTGGCAAGGAGGACACCCGTTTGATAATAATGACAGAATCCCTGAAAAACCAGCTTTTGCCTCCTTGGCGGTTGTTCTGAGGGCTAAAATAAAATAATTTTTGGGAATGGAGCTCCAGCTGAATTGGACCAAGACTTTGAAGCTGGCCAGTAAATATTGTGAATATCTGTCAGTTTGGTTTTTCAGCCTCCAAAAATGAGGGACTGCGAGGGGAGAACATCTTGAAGTGATCAGAAAAAGCCCGCTGAATTAAAGTCAGATAAATTACTTTACTGGCAACTCTTGACACCCTTTTGGACAGCAAAAAAAGTGTCCTTGTCCACAGCTTTTTTTATATAAATGCGAGGAATGCAAAATCATTTAGCATATTAATAACTCTATAACACTATCACCACAAATAAGAAAAACCCACAGTATCCACAATACACTCTACTACAGTATTTGCCACGCAACTCAGAAAACTTGTTGAACTTTACTGTTGATGATGACCAATCTAATAAAATAAAACAAATCTTATTTTTTTGACTGTGACGTGCATTTCAAACCATTATAACATCTAAATGACCACATTTAACGTTGGTTTGTGATTACTGTAAAATGATCTGTTTATGATGGTGCACTCCATAAGATTAAGTATGCGATGTCATCCAGATTTAAAAAACATAAATCAAGTCTTTGGAAGGTGGGAGTGGAAGAGCTGGTCATAAATCTAACTGATAGTCCTTAGCACTGACAGAAACTATATTTGGAGAATAGCACGAGAAACATCTAGAAATCACTGATGTATGAGGTAATGCATATCTCTTCAGGCCAAAATAGACCTATTGATCTTTGAATTCCATTATGATTTAACACCATCTTATATGTGTTCTCTCCCTCTCTGTGGTTGTCTACAGCAGTGTTCCCCAACTCCAGTCCTCCAGTACCGCAATTTGTTTGTTGTAGCCCTGGGCAAAAACACCTGATTCAACTTGTCAAGGGCTTGATGATTAGTTGACAAGTAAAATCAGGTGTGCTTGTCCAGGGCCACAACAAAATTCGTACTGTTGGGGGTACTGGAGGACCAGACTTGGGAAACACTGGTCTACAGTATCTACAGTATCTACAGTATCCAGTGGATGGACTTTGTGGGAGGTTATCTCTTCTATAGCAGTCAGGAGGGAGGCATGCAACACATTCACGGACACAGTTTGTTTTCACACACAGATGGATGGGTGAGCTGGAAGTCACGCCGTCTATCCCCCGCCGACAGATTGAGTGGGAGCATTGAGAACAAACTGTAACAGAAGTTTAACAAAAGGCTTTGGCTATATAGCTCTATACAGACCTCCACAGAGCAATTAAAAACACCACTCCCTCCTGGGGCATATTGGCAGCTGAACTCTGACCCAGGCCACAGCTTATTGTACCCATGACCCTGTTCCCAGTAGGCTAGACATATAGACAGGAATACTTTTATACAGGCCCTGGGGGCTTGTTAAGCATGGTCATGTATGGGCAGTCACTGTAAACTGTTCTTATCACAACACAGACATAACGTTTTGAGTATAGGATTTGGTGGAGTGTGGTTGCAACACAATGCATGTGTGGGGGTTGACTTGGGTCATTTGAATTCAATGCAGACATGGTACAACTATGTTAGAATACAATCTATGGGAAAAATGTAAATGACAGTTCTTCAGGCACTATTGGTATTACTTAACACAAGCAAACAACAGGACATCATCTTTCCTTCCCCTTACCTTGACAATGAGTCATGTTCATCCTCTTGTAACCCTTGGGGCATTCCACTTGCCCGTTCGCAATCACTGCATACGCTGCGGGAAAGAAAAACGAAAGAAGGTGATGAGTGAGAGCACTGATTAGAGAAAGAGAAATGATCACACTCTGCTTGTCTACTTTAAAAAGCATTGCATCCATAACACACAGAGGGAGGGAGGGAGGGAGGGAGGGAGATAGTTCATGTGTAGCATGGGAGCATATAAGTTACAGATGTGCTGAGCTTGGCAGGGGGAGAAATTAGATGGGGACCCACAGATGGGCCCTGCGGGACACCACAATGCTGCCATGTAAACAAATCCCCATTAACCACAGTTATACAACAGCACTGCCATCACGCACAATCATCAACACCACACGTCATTTATAATCATATTACCTAGAGCTCCACACCCCTGGGGACACATACACAGCGAAAGAGAGCCTGTATATCATAAATTGTTTCGAGAAAACACATGCCACAGCCATGACCTGTGTCACCAACCACGCCGAATATCACTTAAACACCAGACTAATGCTTCATGTGTACACGCCAGGAATGCTGATAAATGCAAGGTTTACTGGGGTCCTTACGAGGGTGCTGCGCATATTTCTTTTTGCTTGTTCTACTAAAAAAATTACAATCTCCTCATGTAGCATGTCCTTCAGTGGGGTACTTTAGAGGTTCACTGAAGCGGTGTTGTAAATAACGCTCTGTGTCCGTTCATGCCCCCCAGCGTGGCCATACACTTGCTGACAGAGGCCTGAAAACATGATGTCATTATTCATTTGGCACCCAGTCAGGGCAGGGCACGCTCCATTAGTTGTTGGGACTGGGGAAGGACACTATTCTCAATATCAGATGGCCAGGACTGAGTCTTCACTTGTGAGGTTGGATTGAGGTAGGGGGTAATCAGAGCCGAATGCTGGACAGGATCAAGGTGATTAGTCACAGATTTCACAGTTATGGAAAGGTGAAAGAGGAGACGCAGACGATGAGTCTCCTAGAATATCACCAGACACATGTTGAAAGGAGAATGGTCCTCCTCATGATTTAGTAGTGTCTGGCTAGGGTGGATTTTTCATTTCGACATGACGGGACAGTACAGTGTATTCACTCCCTTTACATCCAGTGGAAGAGCAGAAAATGTTTTTCATGTGACATACAGACCATTCTTAGCTTATCTAGTTCATCAGATTGCGAGTGGCACCACACAATTGACAAGCCTTCAAAAGAATGTTGAGATCTCATCTGTACGTTTGATCTAATTTTCAGCTTATATGCACACACATGCTCATTCATAGCTTGAAACATGCACAAAGTATGGCACACTACATGTGAGCTCCATAAGTATTATCAATATCTATCCTCCTAGGTCAGACATGACAAACACTGCTCTTATACAGTATCTGTAATGGCATTTGGAGCACAGCAGGAATTTCGCCACCAGTACCAATGAAAACATGTTATCTTCCCTCCAGGCTCTTCCCCTGGCAGAGTGGGCCCTGAGGGGAAGTTTATCTTCAGGCAGCGCTGCAGCAGATTGCAGGGTGTTGATCTGGAGGCCTGGGAGTGACAGACAGTGGTGTTGCAGGCCGTCTGGCAGACAGTGGTGTTGCAGGCCGTCTGGCAGGTAAGCAGACGGTGGGTCAACAGGACCTGATAAGAGTCCCTCTCATGCAACCCATCAATCTAGACACCAGGGCAGTGCAAACAGGCCCGGCATCCCCTCAGCCACAGCAGCACATCTGCCCTTACATCAGTGTAGCACTGTCGGACACACAAAGCACAGAGACCCTGCAGTCAGCCTTCCTCCTCCTCCTCTGTTTGTTTGGGAACCCCCCATCATTTATTTTCCTTTTCCTTCCTACACAGGCGACAAGCTGTTAATTTGAAAAAATGTGGTGGAATTCTGATTCCAGATACTGCTGCCAAAGTTCTCTTCGTTTGTGGGATTGGTGAACCTCAGTTCATCAACAGGCTATCAATATCGCAGGGAGGAGGAAGAAGAGGGGGGAGATCTTGTAGTCTACCTGGAATGTTCCATCAATCTATATTATTTATGGTGTTATCCCATCTGTGTCCTGAGTGGTTGTGAGAGTCTAACAGTATGAGTTCAAGGCTCTGTTGGTCATGACGTCACTCAGTGGATCACTGAATGAGGCAGTAAGGCTGCAGTACATGCAGGTTCACACAGCAGATCAGAAGTGGGTCAGACCAGACGGGAGCGCCACTGCAGGGTCAGGGTCGGGGATAATCGTGTCAAAGCGAAGCACCTGTTCCGGTCCCGCCCTGAATCCCTGGACTCCCCAGAGAGTCCTCTGGGTAATGAGCTGTTGTGACATGGCGGTAGGCGAGGCGGGTGCGAACCCCCATGAGAACAGGATCTGTCTGCCCTGATTAACTGAAGGGGCACATGCCAAGGGATGCCTCGCAGGGGGCAGGCCACTCTATAAATCTTATTAGTACTGAGAGACTAGGGGGGACACAGAGGAGAGCAGGTCTGTCTGAAGTATCAGTATGGATGACGGACATATCAGTATGGATGACGGATCACCACCTCAAGCTGAACCCTGGCAAGACGGAGCTGCTCTTCCTCCCGGGGAAGGACTGCCCGTTCCATGATCTCGCCATCACGGTTGACAACTCCGTTGTGTCCTCCTCCCAGAGTGCGAAGAGCCTTGGCGTGACCCTGGACAACACCCTGTCGTTCTCCGCTAACATCAAGGCGGTGACCCGATCCTGCAGGTTCATGCTCTACAACATTCGGAGAGTACGACCCTGCCTTACACAGGAAGCGGCACAGGTCCTAATCCAGGCACTTGTCATCTCCTGTCTGGATTACTGCAACTCGCTGTTGGCTGGGCTCCCTGCCTGTGCCATTAAACCCCTACAACTCATCCAGAATGCCGCAGCCCGTCTGGTGTTCAACCTTCCCAAGTTCTCTCACGTCACCCCCCTCCTCCGCACACTCCACTGGCTTCCAGTTGAAGCTCGCATCCGTTACAAGACCATGGTGCTTGCCTATGGAGCAGTGAGGGGAACGGCACCTCCGTACCTTCAGGCTCTGATCAGTCCCTACACCCAAACGAGGGCATTGCGTTCATCCACCTCTGGCCTGCTGGCTCCCCTTCCTCTGCGGAAGCATAGCTCCCGCTCAGCCCAGTCAAAACTGTTCGCTGCTCTGGCACCCCAATGGTGGAACAAGCTCCCTCACGACGCCAGGACAGCGGAGTCACTCACCACCTTCCGGAGACACTTGAAACCCCACCTCTTTAAGGAATACCTGGGATAGGATAAAGTAATCCTTCTACCCCCCCCCCCCCCCCCCCCCCACTGGCTATAGGGTGAATGCACCAATTTGTAAGTCGCTCTGGATAAGAGTGTCTGCTAAATGACGTAAATGTGCCCTTGAGCAAGGCACTTAACCCTAATTGCTCCTGTAAGTCGCTCTGGATAAGAGCGTCTGCTAAATGACTAAAATGTAAATGTCAATGTAAATGAAGTAACTTCCCCCACAGGTTACCTGAGCTTGCTGACAGGACATCATCTGTATGGTCAACCCACTGCTAAAGACAATGGCAAACAAACAAGATACTGCATAAATAACATCAGAGGTTTTGCCTAACCACCTTAACAGGGAAAACGAGCTATAGGCCAGTGCAATGGAAAACAAACCCAAAGAATGAAATGTACTGTAAGCTACAGTTGAAGTCAGAAGTTTACATACACCTTAGCCAAATACATTTGAACTCAGTTTTTCACAATTCCTGACATTTAATCCTAGAAAAAAATTCCCTGTTTTAGGTCAGTTAAGATCACCACTTTATTTTAAGTCAGAATAATAGTAGAGAGAATGATTTATTTCAGCTTTTACAGTGAGGGAAAAAAGTATTTGATCCCCTGCTGAATTTGTACGTTTGCCCACTGACAAAGACATGATCAGTCTATAATTTGAATGGTAGGTTTATTTGAACAGTGAGAGACAGAATAACAACAAAAAAATCCAGAAAAACGCATGTCAAAAATGTTAGAAATTGATTTGCATTTTAATTAGGGAAATAAGTAGGCCACTCCAGGAACTTAATGTGCTTCTTCTTGAGACACTCCTTTGTTGCCTTGGCTGTGTGTTTTGGGTCATTGTCATGCTGGAATACCCATCCATGACCCATTTTTTTAATTTATTTTTTATTTTTTTAGTCATTTAGCAGACGCTCTTATCCAGAGTGCATTCATTATTTTTTTTATATATATATTTTTTTCATACTGACCCCCCGTGGGAATCGAACCCACAACCCTGGCGTTGCAAACGCCATGCTCTACCAACTGAGCTACATCCCTGCCGGCCATTCCCATCCCTACCCTGGACGACGCTGGGCCAATTGTGCGCCGTCGCATGGGTCTCCCGGTCGCGGCCGGCTACGACAGAGCCTGGATTCGAACCAGGATCTCTAGTGGCACAGCTAGCACTGCGATGCAGTGCCTTAGACCACTGCGCCACTCGGCATTTTCAATGCCATGGCTGAGGGAAGGAGGTTCTCACCCAAGATTTGACAGTACGTCCATCGTCCCTTTGATGCGGTGAAGTTGTCCTGTCCCCTTAGCAGAAAAACACCCCCAAAGCATAATGTTTCCACCTCCATGTTTGACGGTGGGGATGGTGTTCTTGGCAGCATTCCTCCTCCTCCAAACACAGCGAGTTGAGTTGATGCCAAAGAGCTCGATTTTGGTCTCATCTGACCACAACACTTTCACCCAGTTCTCCTCTGAATCATTCAGATGTTCATTGGCAAACTTCAGATGGCCCTGTATATGTACTTTCTTGAGCAGGGGGACCTTGCGGGCGCTGCAGGATTTCAGTCCTTCATGGCGTAGTGTGTTACCAATTGTTTTCTTGGTGACTATGGTCCCAGCTGCCTTGAGATCATTGACAAGATCCTCCCGTGTAGTTCTGGGCTGATTCCTCACCGTTCTCATGATCATTGCAACTCCACGAGGTGAGATCTTGCATGGAGCCCCAGGCCGAGGGAGATTGACAGTTATTTTGTGTTTCTTCCATTTGCGAATAATCACACCAACTGTTGTCACCTTCTCACCAAGCTGCTTGGCGATGGTCTTGTAGCCCATTCCAGCCTTGTGTAGGTCTACAATCTTGTCCCTGACATCCTTGGAGAGCTCTTTGGTCTTGGCCATGGTGGAGAGTTTGGAATCTGATTGATTGATTGCTTCTGTGGACAGTTGTCTTTTATACAGGTAACAAACTGAGATTAGGAGCACTCCCTTTAAGAGTGTGCTCTTAATCTCAGCTTGTTATTTGTATAAAAGACACCTGGGAGCCAGAAATCTTTCTGATTGAGAGGGGGTCAAATACTTATTTCCCTCATTAAAATGCAAATCAATTTATAACATTTTTGACATGCGTCTTTCAGGATTGTTTTGTTGTTATTCTGTCTCTCACTGTTCAAATAAACCTACCATTAAAGTTATAGACTGATCATTTCTTTGTAAGTGGGCAAACGTACAAAATCAGCAGGGGATCAAATACTTTTTTCCCTCACTGTATTTCTTTCATCACATTCCCAGTGGGTCAGAAGTTTACATACACTCAATTAGTATTTGGTAGCATTGCCTTTAAATTGTTTAACTTCGGTCAAACGTTTCGGGTAGCCTTCCACAAGCTTCCCACAATAAGTTGGGTGAATTTTGGCCCATTCCTCCTGACAGAGCTGGTGTAACTGAGTCAGGTTTGTAGGCCTCCTTGCTCGCACACGCTTTTTCAGTTCTGCCCACACATTTTCTATAGGATTGAGGTCAGGGCTTTGTGATGGCCACTCCAATACCTTGACTCTGTTGTCCTTAAGCCATTTTGCCACAACTTTGGAAGTATGATTGGGGTCATTGTCCATTTGGAAGACCATTTGCGACCAAGCTTTAACTTCCTGACTGATGTCTTGAGATGTAGCTTCAATAAATCCACATAATTTTCCTTCCTCATGATGCCATCTATTTTGTGAAGTGCACCAGTCCCTCCTGCAGCAAAGCACTCCCACAGCATGATGATGCCACCCCCATGCTTCACGGTTTGGATGGTTTTCTTTGGCTTGCAAGAAAACCCCTTTTTCCTCCAAACATAACGATGGTCATTATGGCCAAACAGTTATATTTTTGTTTCATCAGACCAGAGGACATTTCTCCAAAAAGTACGATCTTTGTCCCCATCTGCAGTTGCAAACTGTAGTCTCGCTTTTTTATTGAGGTTTTGGAGCAGTGGCTTCTTCCTTGCTGAGCGGCCTTTCAGGTTATGTCGATATAGGACTCGTTTTACTGTGGATATAGATATATTTTTACCTGTTTCCTCCAGCATCTTCACAAGGTCCTTTGCTGTTGTTCTGGGATTGATTTGCACTTTTCGCACCAAAGTACGTTCATCTCTAGGAGACAGAACGCGTATCCTTCCTGAGCGGTATGACGGCTGCGTTGTCCCATGGTGTTTATACTTGCGTACTATTGTTTGTACAGATGTACGTGGTACCTTCAGGCGTTTGGAAATTGCTCCCAAGGATGAACCAGACTTGTGGAGGTCTACAATTATTTTTCTGAGGTCTTGGCTGATTTCTTTTGATTTTCCCATGATGTCAAGCAAAGAGGCACTGAGTTTGAATGTAGGCCTTGTAATAAATCCACAGGTACACCTCCAATTGACTCAAATGATGTAAATTAGCCTATCAGAAACTTGTAAAGCCATGACATCATTTTCTGGAATTTTCCAAGCTGTTTAAAGGCACAGTCAACTTAGTGTATGTAAACTTCTGACCCACTGGAATTGTGATACAGTGAATTATAAGTGAAATAATCTGTCTGTAAACAATTGTTGTAAAAATTACTTGTGTCCGCACAAAGTAGATGTCCTAACCGACTTGCCAAAACTATAGTTTGTTAACAAGAAATTTGTGGAGTGGTTGAAAAACGAGTTTTAATGACTCCAACCTAAGTGTATGTAAACTTCCGACTTCAACTGTATGTATCTAGCATATATGCTAGTTCAGGATGTTTTGTAACCTACTGTGGGTAGAATGCAACTGTGGAATGGATTTGACATGCTGTCATGCTGACCCAGACAATGTTAATTGTCACAGATCCCAATGCAGTGGAACGCAAGAGTGACCTCGCTGCATCATTAGTGTTCCCCTTGGTTACATGGATGCTGGGACAGAAAGACCAGACTGGCCCATATTCATTGTGCTTTACAAAGAGGAAGCACATGGACACAGACTGTTGGCCTCACTTGTTCCCCCTCCATTCATTCATTGCACTTTACCAAAATACTTTGTCACCCTTGACTGATTTGTTGTACTTCATCTCTAAATTGCGTCAGGCATTTAATTTGCAACCATCCAGCAATATTTCCTTGTAAACAGTTAAAGCCTCATATACAATTTCTTAGTAGGTAGCATCTCTTACTTTTGAGAGCCTAAACTCTAAAACAGGAGTCAAAGCTAGCTTAGGACGGTCTTCAAAATAGGCCTTTTGAGATGTGGGTGTTTACTGAGGGAATTGAGGGAGGAGGATAAGCAAAAGGGGAGTGATGGTAAGAAAATAGTGAGAGGGAGGGAGTGTGAAGGGAGAGGAGCGAGTCTAGTCAAATGGGTTCTGCTTGACAGAAATCTTTAATTGGTCATTTAGCGCAATCATTACGTGGACCACATGGACTGAGGGAGCCTTCTATTCGCCTACTTAGAGGTACAAGTGGCAGGCAAATCCATCACAGGCAGAGAGCACGGTACTGAACCCACAATGTACTGTACTGCCTCAACCCCAAAATACTGCTCCCCATGTGGCCTGCCCTGAGTCACCCCCTACCCCCAGGCTTATCCAGGAGCCTAGCTGGAGAGCCTGAGAAGAAGTAGTAGACCAGAGAGGGGAAATGGATGCGAGCCACAGGAGAAGGGGAGACAGTCTTCTCTATCCATTCCAAAGTTAGCTATTCTGTAGGAAAACAACAGACATGAGTGCCAAGACCCTTTAAAACCCTTTAAGTGACTTGCTTTCTGAGAACAGACGGCCATGGGACAAACTGGTGCCATGGAGGGGCAAACCAAACACAACTCTTTAATCACAAGGAGTTGTTTTATTCCCTTTGAGATGAAGATGACAAAGAAGCCATATCCCTCTGGCCTCCAGGCCAAAGGCTGATTAGAGAAAGCAGCTAAGGGGAAGTCATTTGCTTTCAAAGCAGAACGTCTCATTGGCACAAGCCAAGTTTGCCATTCTGGCACGGCCCATATCACGAGCCCTGTAAATAAGCCCCAGCTGCCAGCCAGTCAAGCACTGGGGCATCAGACGAGACGAGACAGCCACATGGGCCTAACATCAACATCCCCATGATGAGATCAGCCTCAGACACCACACACTCATGCAAAGGTAACATTTGCTTTCTTTAAAAAACTCCAGTATACCAGCTTAAAGTTTGATATTGAGTAAATGACATTCCCAGCTGTGTGTTCATAGGCACAGAAAATTACCATGTTGTGGCAGACATTGTATAAAGACAATGCAGCTTGTCCGATCAAGTCATTTATCTCATCAAATAAAATAAAATGTTTTTATAAAGCCCTTTTTACATCATATGTCACTAAGTGCTTCTCATTCATGTTTGACTTGATTTAATCCTTATTCAAAAACATCCTATTCATTGTCTCAGTGTTTAACATAATTTAATGATTTCTGCATCTGTTTGTAGTTTGACAGCTTCTAATTTAGTTCTGTCCTCCCTTCTTTACGACGCCCATGGCGATGTGGCTGTGACCTCCCATTTAAAGAGACACACATTCTCCCATAATCTCCCACTGCCGCCACTCGACATGAAATATTTACCACTGGGGGCGAGGCCAAGAGATGACATGGTATGGTCCATACCCCATGATGAACAGGCTAAACATGTATCTTATTAAGCCATGCAACAGATTTAATTTCCATGTGCCTCCAACTCACTGGCATGGTGCCTTGGACAAGCAGTGCTCTCTGGGCCAGATAGATAGATACTGTATGTCTGCATTGGGATTTATTCCTGCTAGCAGTCAGGCCCAGTCAGCCCTCATTAGCCACACTGCTGTCTAGCTAATAGATTCCATCACACTGTTTGTACCCGGCGTTAAGCTAAATCAACAAAGAAAGAATCAGAACCTGTCAAAGGATGGCAACGTCTCTATCTAATCACCATGAGAGAGAGGCTGCAGCAGCAAAGAGAGAGAGCAGCCTGGAACCTTGACACGGACTACAGCAGATGTTCAGCTCAGTCTGTGTTGTTCTGAACAAGTCGCTTGGTTTTGATGTTGGTCATTAACAAGTGTTCAATGTTTGATCACTGCTATTAAATAGTAATAGGCACATGCTTTGGTCCTAAATGAAGGGCAGATTCAATATTTCTCCATGGGACTGGAAGGGATGATCTCATGTGGGGATATTTGGAACAGGGCCTTCTCCTCCTCCTTCTTCTCATCTTATTTTATTAATCTGATGCTCAGGAATAACATTCCTATGAGAGAGCTAGTAGAGTCAGATAGAGGTTGCTCCCTCAGTATGGGGCGGGCCTGCTGGTGCGGTCGGGGTTGAGGAAGGAGGGGCAGAGGGCCAGAAGGCTGACATCATCACGCTGTGACATCACGTTGTGACCTCAGTGGCCTGGGGAGGTAGTGGCTCCAGAGCTAGAGGCCAGGGCTCCTGTGGGTGGGACTGTGATTTATGTTGGCACCGGGGACCTCTGTTCCTGCTCCCTGGGAAGCATCCCGGAGTGGGAGAGTCACTGGGAAGGAAGGCTACTTCCTGTAATGACAGATAGGGAGATGACCAGAGCCATGCTTTATGGAATTGCATAAGCCATGGAACACACTAGGCCATGGTGGCCACTTACAAATAGAATTACTATGGGTGGCCAGCTACTTCATATAAAGTCATAGAAACAGCCATGCCACTCTCGCACCAGGTCAAAGGGTCAAAGGGTCACTCTCAGGGCAGAGTTTGTGGCCTCTTCCAAAGTACCTCAGATCAATTTTCACATGAATCACTTAAAGTGATCCTCAATGTAGAAAACCCTAACAAAGTCTGAATGACACCGATCTATCTACAGTGAGGGAAAAAAGTATTTGATCCCCTGCTGATTTTGTACGTTTGCCCACTGACAAAGAAATGATCAGTCTATAATTTTAATGGTAGGTTTATTTTGAACAGTGAGAGACAGAATAACAACAAAAAAATCCAGAAAAATGCATGTCAAAATTGTTATAAATTGATTTGCATTTTAATGAGGGAAATACGTTTTTGACCCCCTCTCAATCAGAAAGATTTCTGGCTCCCAGGTGTCTTTTATATAGCAGGTAACGATCTGAGATTAGGAGCTTAGATCCCCTACACTAGATAGCTGGAGGAGCGAGAGAGGAGAGAGGAAGAGAGAGAGAGGAGAGAGAGAGAGAGAGAGAGCGCGAGAGAGCGAGAGGATCGATAGAGCTATCGAGTGCGAGATCTAGCCTCGACGACTCGCTGCGATCTATCTGCGTCTCTCTCTCTCCTCTCTCTCTCTCTCTATCTCTCTATCGCTATCTCTCTCTCTCTCTCGCTCTCTCTCTCTCGCTCTCATACGAACCAGAGAGAGGAAAGATGGACCAGGGTCGTATTTTATCTGGAGTTCATTATGCACTGAAATTTGCGGCATGTAGGTTTACAGTGCATTTCATCCTACAGGGTTGAACGGGGCTGGTACTGGGGCTTCCACAGTGTCACTGTCATTACCTCCATTACGTCAACTTCCCTCCCTCCCAAAAACACACACCCGTTCGTTTCCCCACCGCACTGTGGCTTCCTCCACTCAATATAACAATAATAATACTTTATCTGCCTAAAACAACAGAGTACTCTGGCGGTGTCTAAAATGGATGTCTTTTATCGAATCAGTCAGAGAGTTCAGTGATTCCCTCCCATTGGATAGAGGTAGAACTATAGGGGAATAACGACAAAGATAGGCAGCAGAGAAACAATAGGTCTGGATGGAGCATTCCTGAATGAAACCACATTCGACACTAGCCCTTAAACAGCTAAGCGACATAGTTCTCAGTGTCTATAAAATATGTTGTTAAGAGGCCCCTGTTGCTGTGACACTTGTTTCAATGGCCTGTATGTTTTGCAAACAGTAATAAACTAACGGGGTGTTGCATGAGTCACACCCAAAAACAAGCTGGGCATTATGACATCAGCATCACATGCTCGGAAGAGAGACACAAGCCTCTCTCATTGAGGTAAATTACAATTTTCCAGATACTTGTCATCAAGCCCTCAACTGACCTGGCTGGGAGCAGTCCCAGAGAGATGTATGGGATGACAAACTGATTACTCTTCATTAGTGCGTGTCCACTTGTTTTAGTTACTACCTACACAAAGTATAATCAACCCAGTTAAAGCGGGTTCTGGCCATATTTGTATACAGGGAACCATAAGACTGGAAAGGAATGCCAAGTATTCCCTATAAAGTCCTTCAAAGTATGCACCAATCAGCATGGGACATACAGTATGTGGCTTCATCTTTCCCTCTTTTGTCTTTCATTCTCTTATCTTCAGCGACTCTGCATGTGACCCGGGACTGAGGCCCAAGCTGCCCCTAAACAACTACAAAATGAGAGAATGGAGGGATAGTTCTGTTTATCCGCACTTCAAAGGACGGAGAAGAGGAAAACATCTGTGAGCCAAAAGAGATGCTGGTGTGGGGACTTGAGACAGAGAGAAAGAAAGAGAGAGAGCGAGAGAGAGAGAGAAAGAGAGATATAGAGAGAGCGAGAGAGAGAGAGGAATTCTGGCACAGAGAGAAGAGAAGAATAGATGTGCGTCCGTGATGAATGGACCTGAGATGAGATGATGTCTGCTTGTGATTAGAGCTCCGGCAGACAGACACTTAACAGGGAATGGGCTATGACAGCACCCTGTGACAGGCTATTGACATCTACCGCAGCCAGGCCTCTTCCTGATAGGATTAACAGGGAAGGGCGGGGACCATCCTTCCCAACCACCAAACACACCTCGTGGGGGGCTTCAGTAGGGCCTGGGGGCCCTGGGGGGGGGGGGGGGGGGGGTCATCAGGGGCCCAGAGCGCTCCTCTATTTAAAACACAATGAGGAAATGCTGCCAACAACTTTACTGAGAGTCTGCTGCCTCCACACACAGACACACACACACACACAGAGAGAGAGATGAAGAACCACCCAACGGGAACACGGCTGCTTTTCAAAACCACCGCAGCAACAGCACAGGCAGCTCTGGTCAGGAACCACGGCTGCTAATTTCTCTTCTGTTAGCTATAGTAGGAGAGGCCGAGCTAGCCTCTCTCTCTGCCCGACAGCAGGCTGGGTGGCACTCCTGCCAGTCTCTGTTAGTCATGCTAAATGTGTTTTCATTTGGTGCCTTGTTTTGTTTTTAGAAGCGAAAACAACTTAATTTTACAATGAGACGACAAGTGATCCCAATAGTCGAGGCACGATCCTTCTAATCTAGGATACAAAAGTCAGTAATCATTCTGCATTATCACCCCCTGTTAAAGGGATTGACTGTTAATATCAGAGATAAATTGTGTTCATAATTGACGTAAAATACATTGTTTAGCCAAATTAACACATCATAACATAACAGATATAACACAAGGAAAAGCACTGGAGGATCTGGGTTCACTGGTTCAGTGTGTTCAGTATGTGATGGTAAAGGGGACTCACCTGGTTTGGTTGGACACTCTGTGCACTTGTTCAGGCCCCATGAGGCTCCCACACTTCCACAGCAGTCATCCTGTTTGGTCAGGCCAGGAAGAGGCTTCCCACACTACAATGACAACACCCACACATCTCAACACACTCACACAACACAGGACAGATCACCGACACCTTCCCTTTTCCACTCTGACAGCATGTTGTTTAACCTGACTTTATAAACTGAATGTGTGTGTGTGTGTGTACACCTCTGTGTGTGTGTGTGTGTGTGTGTGTGTGTGTATGTTTGTGTTTGTGTGTGTGTATGTTTGTGTGTGTGTACACCTGTGTGTGTGTGTGTGTGTGGGTGTGTGTGTGTCTGTATTTGTGTGTGTGTGTGTGTGTGTGTGTGTGTGTGCGTTTAATCAGACTGTATGTGTGTGTGTGTGTGTGTGTGTTTAATTGGACTATGTGTGAGTGTGTGTGTGTTTATGTGTGGGTGTGTAGAAGTTTGTGAGTCTTCTCATCTGAATGAGGACAGTGCGAGCTGAACAGAACACATCTGAGACTGGTTAGGCCGCAGCAGTGGACATAAACAGGCTGTACCAGGAATAGCTCTGCTGCTGCTGCTCTTGGCTCGTTAAGGAACTTGGCTAATTGTGGAGAGATTATTATCAAACATCACTGAATTCTGCCTAGCAAATGGTACCTCATGGACCAAACAGAGATTTTTTGATTTTTTTTTAAACCAATGAGAGACATGAATCTGACTGCAGGTTCTTTTCAACCGCAGCATGAAGAAATGGCATGAGAGATCCCCTCCAGCACAAACATACTCTTCCTCTGCTCTGCGTGTCAAGCAGCCGATAACACATAGCCTAACACTGGGCTGGCAGCAGCTCTACAGAGGACACTCTACTGTTAGGGTTGGACACACAAGGCAGGGGGAATAACAGCATCTCTCACAGCCAAACAGATGCTGCCTGTACAGAACCTCCGATAAGGAGCTCTCGTTACCAGTGGAGGTAGAAATCTGAGGAACGGCTCATTGGAATGGCTGGAATGGAACGGTATCGCAAACACATGGTTTCCATGTGTTTGATCCCTTTCCATACATTGCATTCCAGCCATTCCAATGAGCCTGTCTTCAGATTTCTACCTCCACTGGTTCCTCCAACCACCACCACTGCTCTTTGCTCTCTGTGTGTGAGAGATGAGATAGAGAGTGTGTGTGAGAGAGAGATGAGATAGAGAGCGTGTGTGAGAGAGAGATGAGATAGAGAGCGTGGTGTGTGTGCGTGCGTGTGTGAAGGAGATACACTGTGGGTGTAGCAGTTCGCCCTGTGTTTGAGACGTGGGGTGGATTTCAGCCTCTCACCTCAGGCCTAACTCATAACACGTCTGTGTGTGTTGGGAGGGGAACACGAGATGATCAATGTGTTGATAGCTTATAAATCCTGGCTGCAGTATAATTCAGAGCCACAGACAGACTTCCTGTCCCAGACACCTACTATCAGACAGACAGAGGAGGGAAGGTATGAATGCTGCCCTGCCGGACGGACGGTAAGACACACGGAAGCCAAACCTGGTCTCCACCCCAAAAGACTAGGCAAACATCCTGCAGTAGTCTGCTAGGATCATCATCTACTATAATGTACTGTGTTCAGTGTATGCCACTCAAAGCATCATACTCAGAGCACCGTACCGTACCTGTCCATCAACGGTCTCTTGGAAGCACCTCCCCACGTATCCGTTCTGCCGGTTGTGTGGTCTGGTGTGCCCGTTGCCAGGTTGGGAGCGCTGCTGTACAGAATGAGCCCCCTCAGCCACGGGGGGTCTCTGGCCAGGCTTGACCCGGGCTACCTGGTGGATCTGCACCTCAGCCTCGTGGGGGTGCTGGATGTGGACATTCACCAGGGACGGGTGTAGAGAGGCTGGACAGGACACAGAGCGCACAGCACAGTCAGTCAGGCAACACTCTACTACCACATTCAGCAGAAACACCTTGAGCCCAATCTGTCTGGACATGGTAAAGAACATGATGAATAGTCCTGGACCTGACATTGCAGTGAAACCTGAAATGTAATGCTTCTCAAAGGGTGTTCCGAGAAGGCTGTAAGGCCCAAGTCAGGTCTTAACATATGGAGATACAGTACAAACGAAAGGGTCCTTAAAACACACTAAATTTGAATTCAATTATTACATGTTTATGACCCAAGACAGGTTGGAGGAGTTGCAGAACTGTTGCAATATTGAGAATATTCTCTTTTGTATAGAGAGAGAGAGAGCACATGACTTTACCATGGCCTTGTAGTGACTCTCTCAACACAGACAGACAGACAGACAGACAGGCGGATGCTTGCCCTGTGATGTAACAATACACACATGTGGTCTGTCATTAGATTAGCGTTATAAAGTCAGTGAGGGCTGGAAAAAATGTTGAATGGAATTCAAAGGATCTAAGTGAGACTCTGAAGAGAGATCTTCTGCTTCTAATTACAGCAGGCCAAAGAGAAGCCAGGAAAGAGGGGAATGTTGCTTTAATGCTGCTTATTTTAGCTGCTCTTCATGGAACTGGTTAGGTCATGCTCTGTTTCTAATGCACTATAGGGTCTTCTGTTGATAAGACGGAGCACTGTATGAACAATATGGGGAACTCCAAAAAAACACCCCATTACATATTATACTGAGAACCCATTCTGACTTTCACTGCTGGTTCACGAAGGTAGAGTTCAGCAGAGTTACTAACTTGGCCGTTGCACGTCAACAAATAAACCTGAGTTAGTTCAAACAAAACCAGAACAGTTGAGAGGGCATGATGAATCAGATGGATAAAAGACTGCAGTAAAATCAGCAGAACTGGAGGAAACAGTATGTCTACAGGAGGCCTGGCTGGGGAAGGCCCTGGGGACCTGGCCAGAGACTGTGTCCCTGTGTCCCATCGAGCTAGACAGACGGCTAGGGGATCACCTTGTTGATTGGACAGCGGCAGGGTGTACATGGAGTGGGAGGAGGAGTTGCGTCCGGCCAGGCTGCCGTCCTTCCGGCTGGGGGTGGGTCTGGCAGGAGGGGGGGCCGGGAGGTGGCAGAACTTCCCCGTGGAGTTTGTTGGGCACCAGCACTGGTCCCTGCCAATGCAGCGCCCGCCATTCAGACAGGGGATCTGACAGAAGACTGCAGGGGAGAGAGAGGGGGGAGGGAGGAAGGAAAAGAGACCAAGGTCATTACCAGAGAGGGAGGTTTGTTAGTGTAAGGAACCGCCAGATTGAATTAAGTTGATTTATGTGTCCTCATATGCTGGGGTCCATACACATAATGAGAAGCAGGAGGGATAGTTCTAATAGGTAGTGTGGACTGAGACTTCATGTGGACAACTACTTTTCTATAATGTAATGTTCACATAACCATCACCACATTCACTAGCAGAAACCTCATTTGACATGGGTTTATGAAGTTCCAACTTCACCCTGAGGTAAAACACACTTCTAATATAACCCCTCCCTATTAAAGGGAAGATTCACCCATTTTGAATGTTATATCGTTTTTGTACATCTTTGAGCGATGTTCTATCGATTCCCGGGGTCATTTAATGTTTTCATGTGTATCTGAGCTATTTGCTGTTCAAGCAGGCAGAAATAAAGCTGGTATGAATTTAGCATGATGACATATCACTAATAAGGGGGGTTGGGGTGTCACAAATTTAAATTGATTCATACATGATATCAAATAGATTCAGATATGATATTTAAGACACTATTAGCATGGACGATCAAGCTATTTCATTCTCTACTGTAGGACACTTGGGGATATCACAGAAACGAATGTGTAAAAAGTATTTATTTAATCTTTTGAATCTGGCCTTATTGCCATTATCTCAATAAAAGTTATAGCACAAAGATATGTCAAATCAGGTAATGTCAAATTTCAGTCTGAAGGAAGTATATGCTTTTTGAAGGAAGTATGCTTTAATCAATTAATTTCCCCCAGTCATTCAGATTCATCACCCTCCATTCTAACGAGTCCTGCACAGTTTGTGTGCGCCGTAGATGGACGTGATCCTGAAAGTATTGGCATTCAGGAATGTAGTTATATTCACTAATAGCTTCAATTGTTCAAAAGCTATAGCCAAATTCTTATTAATATTACCACTCCATTTGTCCCAGCAGCTAATAGTGGATATCGAAGGTTACTTACGTAACCACGGTTCTATTAACTAATTAAGTGGCGCATTCAGCTGACTGAGAAAATCAACTTGCACAACACATTTATTCAGATTATTGCAGCGAGCTGCCAATTAAGTTGCCGAGAGATACATGCGTCTTGCGAGACGTGCAATGACTATGGCTGACAAATTATTTAAATAATACCCCATAATGACAACATGTTTTTAGAAATGTTTGCAAATTTATTGAAAATGAAATACAGAAATATCTAATTTACATAAGTATTCACACCCCTGAGTCAATACTTTGTAGAAGCACCTTTGGCAGCGATTCCAGCTGTGAGTCTTTCTGTGTAAGTCTCTAAGAGCTTTCCACACCTGGATTGTGCAACATTTGCCCATTATTATTTTCTAAATTCTTTAAGCTCTGTCAAATTGCTTGTTGATCATTGCTAGACAACCATTTTCAGGTCTTGCCATAGATTTTCAAGTAGATTTCAGTCAAAACTGTAACTCGGCTACTCAGGAACATTCACTGTCTTCTTGGTAAGCAACTCCAGTGTAGATTTGGCCTTGTGTTTTAGGTTATTGTCCTGCTTGTCACGACCGTCGGGAACAGAGGAGGACCAAGGCGCAGCGTTGAAGATGAACATACTCTTTATTTAGTGATTACACGACCAAAACAACAAAACGATAACGTGACAGTCCACGGTCTAACACAAACCAACTAGAACAAGATCCCACAACCACTGTGGGAAAACAGCTTGTCTAAATATGGTTCCCAATCAGAGACAACCAGCAACAGCTGACACTCGTTGCCTCTGATTGGGAACCACTCTGGCCAACCTAGAAATACAACTACTAGAAACAAATGAAACTCACACCCTGGCTCAACATACAAGTGTCCCCAGAGCCAGGGCGTGACAGTACCCCCTAAAGGCGCGGACTCCGACCGCGCCAACTAAATACCACAGGGGAGGGACCGGGTGGGCACTCCGCCTTGGCGGCGGATCCGGCTCCGGACCTGATCCCCACTCCCTCTCCAACCCCCCAAAGTACCCCTGGTCCGGTCTGGCGGAGCGGATTGCTCTAGCTCCGGCGTGAAGCAGCTGACCGGTGCCGGACCAGGCACCGGTGGAACAGGCACGGGCCGTGCCGGACTGACGACGCACACCACTGGCTTGGTGTGGGGAGCAGGAGCGGACCGGACCGGGCTGGCGACGCGCACCATTGGCCTGGAGCGGGGAGCAGGAACAGGCCGGGCCGGGCTGGCGACGCGCACCATAGGCTTGGTGCGGGGAGCAGGAACAGGCCGGGCCGAGCTGGCGACGCGCACCATTGGCTTGGTGCGGGGAGCAGGAACAGGACGGGCCGGGCTGGCGACACGCACCATTGGCTTGGTGCGGGGAGCAGGAACAGGCCGGGCCGAGCTGGCGACGCGCACCATTGGCTTGGTGCGGGGAGCAGGAACAGGACGGGCCGGGCTGGCGACGCGCACCATTGGCTTGGTGCGGGGAGCAGGAACAGGCCGGGCCGAGCTGGCGACGCGCACCATTGGCTTGGTGCGGGGAGCAGGAACAGGACGGGCCGGGCTGGCGACGCGCACCATTGGCTTGCTGCGGGGAGCAGGAACAGACCGGACCGTACTGGGGACACACACCACTGGCCCTACGCAGGGATCTGGAACGGGCCGGACCGGACTGGTAACACACCCCAGTACCTCTCGCCGTGCCTCTACACCTTCCTTCCCCTCTTTGACCAGTGGCCCCCGTAACCTGGCGGCCTCCTCTGCCAACCCGCTGGGCCGCTCTATCGCGGTCTCCTGCTGCCCCGTCATCCACGGCGTTAGCCCCCCCTAAAAAATTTCTGGGCTTCTCTCCTACCCGTGGACCAGGTCTCCATACTTTTCGCCAGCCTTTCGCCCTTCTGCTTCCACGTCAAGCCCCTCTCTTGCTCACCCGGCTTGACCCAGTCGAGGAGGCGCTGGATATCCGCCAGAGATTTCCCTGGCGATGGCTCCTGGACCCGCTGCTTGGTCCAGTTCTGGTGGGATCTTCTGTCACGATCGTCGGGAACAGAGGACCAAGGCGCAGCGTGGAATGCGAACATATTTATTAAATAATGATTACACGACCAAAACAACAAAACGATAACGTGACAGTCCACGGTCTAACACAAACCAACTAGAACAAGATCCCACAACCACTGTGGGAAAACAGCTTGTCTAAATATGGTCCCAATCAGAGACAACCAGCAACAGCTGACACTCGTTGCCTCTGATTGGGAACCACTCTGGCCAACCTAGAAATACAACTACTAGAAACAAATGAAACTCACACCCTGGCTCAACATACAAGTGTCCCCAGAGCCAGGGCGTGACACTGCTGAAATGTGAATTCATCTCCCAGTGTCTGGTCTGAACCAGGTTTTAGTTTCCTCTATGATTTTGCCTGTGCTTAGCTCCATTCTGTTTATTTTTTATCCTGAAAACTCCCCAGTTCTTAACAATTACAAGGATACCCATAACATGATGCAGCCACCACTATGCTTAAAAATATGGAGAGTGGTACTTATTTAGGCTTGCCATAACAAAGGGGTTTATTACTTATTTACTCAAGACATTTCAGCTTTTCATTTAGGAAAAAAATACATTAGGGGGTATTGTGTGTAGATCAGTGAATGTAATCCATTTTATACATTTAATCCATTTTAAATTCAGGCTGTAACACAACAAAATGTGGAAAAAGTCAAGGCATGTGAATACTTTCTGAAGGCACCGTATGTATGTTATTAATTTTTAATTGCAGTGGCAGCCACGATTTAGCAGCGGCGGTGCGCCACTGCTAAATTCATATAGGGGAAACACTAGAATGCAAGAGAAAAGACAACTCACATACCAAAATAACAGCTTGGATATAATTTTAAAGGAGCAAGGCAATTGGTTCTTGAGGATATAAGACTATTGAATCCTACCTGACACTGTCTTTGCATATAGTTTGATTTACGCCCTGCAATCTTCCAGCAGTGATGACGGGTTCCTCTAGAAGGAGAAGCAGCTGGTGTTTGACAGGTTGCTTTCACAGCCTTTTCATTCTGCTTATCTCTTGGCAGAGGTGCCAGTGTCCTACATACCTGCTCCATACCAGGATCTACAGAGAAGCTCAAACCTTAACCTCAACTCACTCAAACTTCAAAGCCTGGAAAATGGAAAATGGATAACAGCCTGGCACAATAAAAGGGAATCTTCTAAGGGCAAAAAAGATAAAATATCGATGCCTTTTTTTATTCTGCATATTTGGACGCCGCTGTCCTGACCCCTGTGATGAGGCAGGTCTCTAAAACAGCAGATGAAAGAGAGTTGTAGCTGTGGCAACATGCCGTTAAAGGCTTTGGACCCAATCATGTTGTGGCGCTATAACCCCTGTCACACACAGACAGACACAGACACAAACAGACAGAGACAAACATACAGACAGACAGAGACAGACAGACAGACAGACAGACAGACTCAGGATGTGAGCAAGGCAGGGAGGGCTAAGGCACAACAGTCTGGCTAGAAAGAAAGTGGTGGAGAGAGAGAAAGAGAGCGAGAGAGAGAGCGAGAGAGCGAGCGAGCGAGCGAGCGAGAGAGAGAGAGAGAGAGAGAGAGAGAGAGAGAGAGAGAGAGAGAGAGAGAGAGAGAGAGAGGAGAGAGAGAGAGAGAGAGAGAGAGAGAGAGAAATATAGAGAAAAAGAGAGAGAAGGAAAGAGAGTGGTGGAGAAAGAGGGGGACATGGAGCCAGTGTTCAGGCCCACAGGAAGCCCCCCTGTGATTACACATGCTGGCTAAATGATCAGCTACAAAGGGCCATTAACTCCTCCCAATCTGGGGAACAGCCCTGCACAGCACTGGACGGCCTAAGCCTCAGCCTCAGTCTCAGCCTCGCCTCAGACTGTTGTCTCAGCCTTGGCCTCAGTCTCAGCCTCGCCTCAGCTTCGCCCTAACCCACCTCAGCATGGGGCAGGAATTATTCCTAGACAACAACCTGAACTTCTCTCTCATCCACCCTCTACCTACCTTTACACACATCTATTCAGACACCAGACATACAGGAAAATACAATTCATGCCCGTGACACACACTCACACATCCCCAGCACCACCCCCATCTGTCTTTAACATGCATTGTTAAAGGGCTTCTCTAAGTGTCTTGTCTCAGTAATGTCAGGGTTTAGAATAACTGTTCAATGTTGTGAATCCAGGTAGCCCAACAGTGGAACGATGTTATCCACCCAGTTTTACTGCCCCACATTGGGAACATAACAACAACATGACATAGCTGTTTGCTGTCTACTTGACATTCCTTGAGGAGGAACACGCACTTCAGCAACAACAAAATTGACTATAGCTCAGCATTCAACACCATAGTACCCTCCAAGCTCATCATTAAGCTTGATGTCCTGGGTCTCGACCCCACCCTGTGCAATTGGGTGCTGGACTTCCTGCCCCCAGGTGGTGAAGGTAGGAAACAACATCTCCACTTCACTGATCCTCAACACTGGGGCCCCACAAGGGTGTGTGCTCAGCCCCCTCCTGTACTCCCTGTTCACCCATGACTGCGTAGCCATGCATGCCTCCAACTCAATCATCAAGTTTGCAGACGACACAACAGTAGTAGGCTTGATTACCAACAACGATGAGACAGCATACAGGGAGGAGGTGAGGGCTCTCGGAGTGTGGTGTCAGGAAAATAACCTCTCACTCAACGTCAACAAAACAAAGGAGATGATCGTGGACTTCAGGAAATAGCAGAGGGAGTACCCCCTATCCACATCGACGGGACAGCAGTGGAGAAGGTGGAAAGGTTTAAGTTCCTCGGCGTACATATCACTGACAAACTGAAATGGTCCACCCACACAGACAGTGTGGTGAAGAACGCGCAACAGCGTCTCTTCAACCTCAGGAGGCTGAAGAAATTTGGCCTGTCACCTAAAACCCTCACAAACTTTTACAGATGCACAATTGAGAGCATCCTGTTGGGCTGTATCACCGCCTGGTACGGCAACTGCACCGCCCACAACCGCAGGGCTCTCCAGAGGGTGGTGCGGTCTGCACAACGCATCACCGGGGGCAAACTACCTGCCCTCCAGGACACCTACAGCACCCGATGTCACAGGAAGGCCAAAAAGATCATCAAGGACAACTACCACCCGAGCCACTGCCTGTTCAACCCGCTATCATCCAGAAGGCGAGGTCAGTAGAGGTGCATCAAAGCTGGGACTGAGAGACTGAAAAACAGCTTCTATCTCAAGGCCATCAGACTGTTAAACAGCCATCACTAGCACAGAGGAGCTGCTGCTTACATACAGACTTGAAAATCACTGGCCACTAATAATGTTTACATATCTTGCATTACTCGTCTCATATGTATATACTGTATTCTATACTATCTATTGCATCTTAGCCTATGCCGCTCTAACAATGACATTGCTCATCCATATATTTATATATTCTTATTCCATTCCTTTACTTAGATTTGTGTGTATTAGATATTTGTTGCGGAACTGTTAGATATTACTTGATAGATATTACTGCACTGTCGGAACTAGAAGCACAAGGACTTCGCTACACTCGCAATAACATCTGCTAACCATGTGTATGTGACCAATACATTTGATTTGATTTGAAAATGCCAGCTTGAATGTCGAGCAATTTCCTTTAACGGAGTCTTTTTACAGATGTTTTAATGATCCGAGATTTCTTTAAAATAAAATCGAGCATAAAAACAAACTACTTCTCAGGATCACCCAGAAGTGCCAGGAATGCATTGTTGTGCAACGACTCTGCCAAGCCATTGCGTTTGGAGTAGCTTTACATTTTCCAAAAACCTATTAATGGGAGCATAAATCTGCAAAACAACCTGTTTATCTATTCATAACTCAGCCAGTTCCTCCCATGAGGAGCTTAGTGTGTTAAGTGTGGGGCGGCTGCAGTGTGTGTTCGTGTGTGTGTGTGTGTGGTATGGGCGCCCTTCACTTATAATCAATTTGAGTGATTACTGTGAGCCTTAGCTGTGTGGTAGGGGCTGAGGGGAACATTAGGGAAAAAGGGCCAGGCCCCCAGTATTGGTTATTGTTCTCCCCCCACATGGAGAGGCAGGGAGGGAGACTACTTTCCTGTGTGAGTTTGTAGCAAAGCCCACGGATAAATAGCAGCTTTAATGTAATCCCTATAAATTCCTATTCACGCTGCTACTCCCTCTCTTTCTCTCTCCCTTTCTCTTTCTCTGTCTTTCTTTCTCTCCCCCTCTCCCAGTGAGCACGTTAAATGGTTAACCGTGGAGCTGAGAGCAAGATGTAAACCACAAAGAGACCGGGCTAACTGTTGGGAGCGTGAGAGCGGCGCTTCCACGTGTGTGGTTAGCCTCCACTAAGCCCTGCAACACGAAGGGAGGGAGACTGCTAGCGTTACCCTGCTCTTTACCTGTTACGTGAGGAGAGGCGAGGGAAGGAGCGAGAGGATAAGCTGGGAGAGAGAGCATGGGAGCGTAGACTCAGGAGCGAGGGCGAGCGCTAGCAGCTAGCGAGACAGACTTGATGGAGAGAGAGCGAGAGAGGTACGGCAGCTCTCATCGATCTCTCTATCTATCTCTCTCTCTCCCTCCCTCCCTCCCTCCCTCCCTCCCTCCCTCCCTCCACCCTGTCTCTCTCTTTCACACTGCTCCCAGGTATATAATCTCTCCCACTCTGTCACCTCTCTCTCCCCGCCTGCCTGGTATTCAGTGTTGACAGCTCCACAGTGGGAATGGGTTTATCTATCAGGAGCCCCTCTTTCCCCCTCGTTCCCCCTCTCACCCCTGGACTACATTCAGACAGCATAGGAAGAGAGAGGAGTGGAGCGAGAGAAGGAGAAGGAGATTTGAAAAGGGGAAACACTCACAGAGTCTGAAGCCCTGGGTCTTGGGCGGCTGGTGCTGCTGCTGGTTCTCACTGTAGACGGTGGTGGTGTCACCCTTCTTACAGCTGTTGTAGCAGCGGCCGCCGCTGCACACCCTCCGACACACCATGGGGGTGAAGACGATCTTGATGCGGTCCAGGTTGGAGGTGAGGTTGGCCCCTGGAGCACAAAGACACACAGAGACCTGGGTGAACAGGAGCAGCGCTGCACTGGAGAAGAGCTGCATCCTTAACGGGCCACAGACAGACACAATCCCTGGACCTGCTGCCTAGCCAGCCCAGCAGAAGGGGAGGTTTATATGAGTGTGAGTTTGTTTGGACGTGTGTGTGTGTGCCAGCGCCTGGGCTATGGCACGGTGCAGCTGAAAGGAGGATGTGTCACTAGGCAGGCCTGTGGAGGGGGGGAGAATCCAGTTAAGCATGGGGGCTGGCCTCCAAGACTTTATCTTTGGGATAAGGTGTTCTAGATGTGTGAGTAAACCTTGTGTTATGGTGGGAAGCTGTTCAACACCCGTTGCCCTGGTAGGATGGAAAAACAAGAGAAACATGGACAGCAGACAGCTTTACAGAGGGCACTGTTCTGTTCTGTTCTGAGAGGGTTGTAGGGGAGAGGAGTAGGTCATTAAAAGGTTTTGTTTCTGGAGGTTTCTCGTGGTGGGGGGGAGGTTTCTGTCGGGTGTGGGCTGTCATGGAGCCAAGGTGACAGTGAGGACCATGGTGCCTTCCCCCTCCTCCCTACTCCCTCTCTGGGTCTTCAGGGAGGGAGCAGGGCTGTCCTGTGTCTGCACATTGCAGACGCTCCAGAGCAGAGAGTGGAGACGGCTAACCCCCCAGGCACACGGCTGGGATATCAAACGTCTGTCGGTCGTGTGATGAAAACCACAGGGAGGGAGGGGAGGGAGGGGAGGGAGGGAGGGAGGGAGGGAGGGAGGGCGGAGGGAGAAAGGGAGAAGAGAGGAGCCTGGGACAGAGCCAACAACACTTTGTTCCCCAAATCTAATGTTATGTTCAGTGAAGACAGAAACTCATTGTGTGTGTCATAAATGTATTTTTTTTGTTTGTTTTTTTATAAAGCAGGGTAACAGTTGTATCATCCCGGGTGAAACTTTTCTTCTGGTCATTACCTGCTGGCGCCACTGCATTGTTGGTGTGGCCATTGGAGGTGGGTCTGTGGCCGTTACTTGAGTGTCCATTGCCATTCCCAATGTCATGTCCGTTCCCATTGGGCAGGGCGTTGGAGGTGATGGGGCCAGTGGACGATGGGTATCGCTTGACGGTGCGAGACGTCCCAGTCTGCTGGGGAGACGATGAATTGGCTGGTCCTCGCCTCACTTGGGTCCTGGTAACGAGACAGACGACACCAGATCCTATAAACCTCTCCTTCAACACCAGTCACTAAACATACACCAACAACATACAGAAAATCAGCGTATAATCCACTTACACATGGTCAACATATTAAACATAACACCACATGTCTGAGAGAGTGTGAAAGACAAACATAGCATTATGTCTGTCTTAGGTCATAGCATTACTTAGTTTATTTTATAGATGAGATTCCATATGTTTTTTTTTATATAATTGAATCAAGAATATCATATCGTACTTAGGCCCTATAGTGATCCACTTACTCACATCTGTTGTAAGTCAGGGCAGCATGTGTGTAACAGGGTTGGTTATGTTTCATCTTGCCACTGCAGAAATATGTATTTAATGTTTATGTATTTCTATTGGTTTGTGTTATGTCATTGGCTACACTTGCAGATAGGGGAAGATCGCGAACGTCAATTCTTCCCAGTCTGATATTGACATGCAAGCAGTAGGTCACGTTCTGAAATAGTGCATTTTATTTAAGTATTTACAATGTGTACGAGTTCACTATGTACATTTCCTGACAAATACAGTGCCTTCAGAAAGTATTCACACCCCGTGACTTTTTCCAAATGTTGTTGTCTCACTAGCCTACACACAATACCCCGTAATGTCAAAGTGGATTTTTTTCTGTTGCTGAAATGTTTATAAATTAATAAAAAATGAAAAGCTGAAATGGCTTAAGACAATAAGTATTCAACCCCTTTGTTATGGCAAGCCTAAATAAGTTCAGGAGTAAAAATGTGCTTAACAAGTCACATAATAAGTTGCATGGACTCACTCGGTGTGCAATAATAGTGTTTAACATGATTTTTTAATGACTACCTCATCTCTGTACCCACACATTCAATTATCTGTAAGGTCCCTCAGTCGAGCAGTGACTTTCAAACACAGATTCAACCACAAAGACCAGGGAGGTTTTCCAATGCCTCGCAAAAAGGGCACCTATTGGATGGTGTACAGTGAGGGAAAAAAGTATTTGATCCCCTGCTGATTTTGTACGTTTGCCCACTGACAAAGAAATTATCAGTCTATAATTTTAATGGTATGTTTATTTGAACAGTGAGGGACAGAATAACAACAAAAAAAATCCAGAAAGACGCATGTCAAAAATGTTAGAAATTGATTTACATTTTAATGAGGGAAATAAGTATTTGACACCTCTGCAAAACATGACTTAGTCCTTGGTGGCAAAACCCTTGTTGGCAATCACAGAGGTCAGATGTTTCTTGTAGTTGGCCACCAGGTTTGCACACATCTCAGGAGGGATTTTGTCCCACTCCTCTTTGCAGATCTTCTCCAAGTCATTAAGGTTTCGAGGCTGATGTTTGGCAACTCGAACCTTCAGCTCCCTCCACAGATTTTCTATGGGATTAAGGTCTGGAGACTGGCTAGGTGTCACGCCATGACATAGAGTTGGCTAGTTGGTTTAGTCAGGGTGTGGATATCTATGTGTGGGAATTTCTATGTGGACATTCTATGTCATGGTATTTCTATGTTGGCAGGGTGTGGTTCCCAATCAGAGGCAGCTGTCGATCGTTGTCTCTGATTGGTGATCATACTTAGGCAGCCATGTTGCCTACCTTAGTTGTGGGATCTTGTTTGTGTTCCTGTTAGGCTTGTTGTGTGTATAGCCCATAGGACTTGTTATTTTGTCAAGTGTTTATTCATCTTAATAAACATGTACGCATACCACGCTGCACCTTGGTCTGACCCGTCTCTCAACGATCGTGACACTAGGCCACTCCAGGACCTTAATGTGCTTCTTCTTGAGCCACTCCTTTGTTGCCTTGGCCGTGTGTTTTGGGTCATTGTCATGCTGGAATACCCATCCACGACCCATTTTCAATGCCCTGGCTGAGAGAAGGAGGTTCTCACCCAAGATTTGACGGTACATGGCCCCGTCCATCGTCCCTTTGATGTGGTGAAGTTGTCCTGTCCCCTTAGCAGAAAAACACCCCCAAAGCATAATGTTTCCACCTCCATGTTTGACGGTGGGGATGGTGTTCTTGGGGTCATAGGCAGCCTTCCTCCTCCTCCAAACGAGATGAGTTGATGCCAAAGAGCTCCATTTTGGTCTCATCTGACCACAACACTTTCATCCAGTTCTCCTCTGAATCATTCAGATGTTCATTGGCAAACTTCAGACGGACATATATATGTGCTTTCTTGAGCAGGGGGACCTTGCGGGTGCTGTAGGATTTCAGTCCTTCACGGCGTAGTGTGTCACCAATTGTTTTCATGGTGACTATGGTCCCAGCTGCCTTGAGATCATTGACAAGATCCTCCCGTGTAGTTCTGGGCTGATTCTTCACCGTTCTCATGATCATTGCAACTCCACAAGGTGAGATCTTGCATGGAGCCCCAGGCTGAGGGAGATTGATAGTTCTTTTGTGAAAATGCAAATCAATTTATAACATTTTTGACATGCGTTTTTCTGGATTTTTTTGTTGTTATTCTGTCTCTCATTGTTCAAACAAAACTACCATTACAATTATAGACTGATCATTTCTTTGTCAGTGGGCAAACATACAAAATCAGCAGGGGATCAAATACTTTTTTCCCTCACTGTATAAATACACCCAGTCACTACAAAGATACATCCATCCTTCCTAACTTAGTTGCCGGAGAGGAAGGAAACCGCTCAAGAATTTCACTATGAGGCTAAAGGTGACTTTAAAACAGTTACAGTTCAATTGCTGTGTTAGGAGGATGGATCAACAACATTTTAGTTACTCCACAATACTAACCTAAATGACAGAAGGCTGTACCGAATCTCACCATCGCTGTTTTTATAATGAGAAAGTGACCAAAAACCAGGTTCCCTTCTTAATGGAAGGCTTTGTACGGAAAGCCAAGTTGAAGCCAACATTAGATGTTGTCGTCCTCATAATAACTGCACGTGGTTTTACCGCAACAGAGTAGCGCAACACCCTTCAGTTGAAGCGGCGGGAAACAAACAAAAGGGGTCACATCTCTCACAAAAACTGATCAGAAATGAAATCACGGATAATTACAAGGGAGCAGGAGAACTTATAAATTGGCTATAACAATTACAAGGACTTTTCAAGGACCAAATTTAGGAAATGTCTGATTTTCAAGGTAGGCCTATTCCAGGACTTTCTGAGCGCCAAATTTAAGTTCAAGTAGGCTACATCAAGCCCCTTGTATTGTTTTAAAATTGCAGGTCTAACATGTAAACATAATGTATTTGTCATGTTATTTCATTACCAGATCATATTGTGAATAGCCACACTAGGCTATGTAATTTGTTCTCATTATATCCAGAATAATTCATAGGAATAGCATTGGGTGTTGCACAATAGTCTATCCTACACAACTGCGCACAGTAGACTCGATGTCCAACCCCAGGCACAATAACAAATGAAAACACAATACCTTGATGCTTTGCTCTGTTAAATCTAACGAGACCCGGCTGTAAATCAAGCAGACAAGAAGAAATTAACAGCATCAACTCGCTAGGGATATTAGATCCAACATGGATCCAGGCACAACTGTCTTCGCCGGCGAAACGAATGAGACACCAAAATATTCTGGACATTCCTCGCGAACACCTTCTTTCCAGCACTTGGGCTGTTGTTGCATCGCATGCACTATCACTATCATAGTCGCGGGAAGTAGGGATGCTGAGGGTGCTGCAGCGCCCCTTGAAAAATCTATAATAAATAAAATAAAATACATATATATACAGTACCAGTCAAACGTTTGGACACACCTACTCATTCAAGGGTTTTTCTTTATTTTTACTATTTTCTACAATGTAGAATAATAGTGAAGACATCAAAACTATGAAATAACACATATGGAATCATGTATTAACCAAAAAAGTGGTAAACAAATCAAAATATATTTGAGATTTGAGATTCTTTAAAGTAGCCACCCTTTCCCTTGATGCCAGCTTTGCACACTCTTGGCATTCTCTCAACCAGCTTCACCTGGAATGGTTTTCCAACAGTCTTGAAGGAGTTCCCACATATGCTGAGCACTTGTTGGCTGCTTTTCCTTCACTCTGCAGTCCAACTCATCCCAAACCATCTCAATATGGTTGAGGTCGGGTGATTATGGAGGCCAGGTCATCTGATACAGAACTTCATCACTCTCCTTCTTGGTCAAATAGCCCTTACACAGCCTGGAGGTGTGTTGGGTCATTGTCCTGTTGAAAAACAAATGATAGTCCCACTAAGCGCAAACCAGATGGGATAGCGTATCGCTGCAGAATGCTGTGGTAGCCATGCCGGTTAAGTGTGCCTTGAATTCTAAATAAATCACAGACAGTGTCACCAGCAAAGCACCCCCACACCATCACACCTCCTCCTCCATGCTTCACGGTGGGAACCACACATGCGGAGATCATCCATTCATCTAATATGTGTCTCACAAAGACACGGCAGTTGGAACCAAAAATCTCAGACTCCTCAGACCAAAGGACAGATTTCCACCGGTCTAATGTCCATTGCTTGTGTTTCTTGGCCTAAGCAGGTCTCTTCTTCTTATTGGTGTCCTTTAGTAGTGTTTTTTTTTTGCAGCAATTTGACCATCAAGACCTGATTCACACAGTCCCCTCTGAACAGTTGATGTTGATATGTTTCTATTACTTGAACTCTATGAAGCGTTTATTTGGGTTGCAATCTGACACTGGTAACTCTAATGAACTTATCCTCTGCAGCTGAGGTAACTCTGGGTCTTCCTTTCCTGTGGCGGTCCTCATGAGAGCCAGTTTCATCATAGCGCTTGATGGTTTTTGCGACTGCACTTGAAGAAACTTTCAAAGTTCTTGAAATATTCCGGATTTGACTGACCTTCATGTCTTAAAGTAATGATGGACTGTCGTTTCTCTTTGCTTATTTGAGCTGCTCTTGCCATAATATGGACTTGGTCTTTTACCAAATAGGGCTATCTTCTGTATACCACCCCTACCTTGTCACAACAAAACTGATTGGCTCAAACGCATTAAGAAGGAAAGAAATTCCACAAATTAACTTTTAACAAGGTACACCTGTTAATTGAAATGCATTCCAGGTGACTACCTCATGAAGCTGGTTGAAAGAATGCCAAGAGTGTGCAAAGCTGTCATCAAGGGAAAGGGTGGCTCCTTTGAAGAATCTCAAATCTCAAATATATTTTGATTTGTTTAACACTTTTATGGTTACTACATGATTCCATGTGTTATTTCACAGTTTTGATGTCTTCACTTATATTCTACAATGTAGAAAATAGTAAAAAAATAAAGGATAAGCCTGGAATGAGTAGGTGTGTCCACACATTTGACTGGTACTGTATATACAGTGGGGAGAACCCAATTTTGCAGGTTTTCCTATTTACAAAGCATGTAGCGGTCTGTAATTTTTATCATAGGTACACTTCAACTGTGAGAGACGGAATCTAAAACAAAAATCCAGAAAATCACATTGTATGATTTTTAAATAATTAATTTGCATTTTATTGCATGACATAAGTATTTGATCACCTACTAACCAGTAAGAATTCCGGCTCTCACAGACCTGTTAGTTTTTCTTTAAGAAGCCCTCCTTTTCTCCACTCATTACCTGTATTAACTGCACCTGTTTGAACTCCTTACCTGTATAAAAGACACCTGTCCACACACTCAATCAAACAGACTCCAACCTCTCCACAATGGCCAAGACCAGAGAGCTGTGTAAGGACATCAGGGATAAAATTGTAGAACTGCATAAGGCTGGGATGGGCTACAGGACAATAGGCAAGCAGCTTGGTGAGAAGGCAACAACTGTTGGCGCAATTATTAGAAAATGGAAGAAGTTCAAGATGACGGTCAATCACCCTCGGTCTGGGGCTCCATGCAAGATCTCACCTCGTGGGGCATCAATGATCATGAGGAAGGTGAGGGATCAGCCCAGAACTACACGGCAGGACCTGGTCAATGACCTGAAGAGAGCTGGGACCACAGTCTCAAAGAAAACCATTAGTAACACACTACGCCGTCATGGATTAAAATCCTGCAGCGCACGCAAGGTCCCCCTGCTCAAGCCAGCGCACGTCCAGGCCCGTCTGAAGTTTGCCAATGACCATCTGGATGATCCAGAGGAGGAATGGGAGAAGGTCATGTGGTCTGATGAGACAAAAATAGAGCTTTTTGGTCTAAACTTCACTCGCTGTGTTTGGAGGAAGAAGAAGGATGAGTACAACCCCAAGAACACCATCCCAACCGTGCATGGAGGTGGAAACATGGAGGTGGAAACATCATTCTTTGGGGATGCTTTTCTGCAAAGGGGACAGGACGACTGCACCGTATTGAGGGGAGGATGGATGGGGCCATGTATCGCGAGATCTTGGCCAACAACCTCCTTCCCTCAGTAAGAGCATTGAAGATGGGTCGTGGCTGGGTCTTCCAGCATGACAACGACCCGAAACACACAGCCAGGGCAACTAAGGAGTGGCTCCCTAAGAAGCATCTCAAGGTCCTGGAGTGGCCTAGCCAGTCTCCAGACCTGAACCCAATGGAAAATCTTTGGAGGGAGCTGAAAGTTCGTATTGCCCAGCGACAGCCCCGAAACCTGAAGGATCTGGAGAAGGTCGGTATGGAGGAGTGGGCCAAAATCCCTGCTGCAGTGTGTGCAAACCTGGTCAAGACCTACAGGAAATGTATGATCTCTGTAATTGCAAACAAAGATTTCTGTACCAAATATTAAGTTCAATAAAATAAAATGCAAAATGAATTACTTAAAAATCATACAATGTGATTTTCTGGATTTTTGTTTTAGATTCTGTCTCTCACAGTTGAAGTGTACCTATGATAAAAATTACAGACCTCTACATGCTTTGTAAGTAGGAAAACCTACAAAATCGGCAGTGTATCAAATACTTGTTCTCCCCACTGTATATTTAGAACCAAAACATGTATCACAAAAGTAGTGCACTGGGCCTTTACAATACCTTATTAGGGGACTCCACTGGCTCCACTGGCTTCCAGTTGAAGCTCGCATCCGCTACAAGACCATGGTGCTTGCCTATGGAGCAGTGAGGGGAACGGCACCTCTGTACCTTCAGGCTCTGATCAGTCCCTACACCCAAACGAGGACATTGCGTTCATCCACCTCTGGCCTGCTGGCTCCCCTTCCTCTGCGGAAGCACAGCTCCCGCTCAGCCCAGTCAAAACTGTTCGCTGCTCTGGCACCCCAATGGTGGAACAAGCTCCCTCACGACGCCAGGACAGCGGAGTCACTCACCACCTTCCGGAGACATTTGAAACCCCACCTCTTTAAGGAATACCTGGGATAGGATAAAGTATTCCTTCTAACCCCCCCCCCCCCCCCAAATTGTAAAGTGGTTATCCCACTGGCTATAGGGTGAACGCACCAATTTGTGAGTCGCTCTGGCTAAGAGCGTCTGCTAAATGACGTTAATGTGCCCTTGAGCAAGGCACTTAACCCTAATTGCTCCTGTAAGTCGCTCTGGTTAAGAGCGTCTGCTAAATGACTAAAATGTAAAATGTAATGTAAAATGGGACCGATAAATCCTTCTGTAGCGTGGGCAGGGGCGGTGTGTTCATTAGGGCGATATGGGCGACGCACTGCCAAACGGGAAAAGGAAGGGATTTTTTTTCTAATCAATTATATCACGGCAACAGTAGTTATCAGTGTTCTAATCTAGACGTCTGATCTGCCACTAAATGTCCAATCAGGCTAAAGTCGTGCTTCAAATGGCCCCACCCCTTTTGGGGCGATTTCAGTCAGGTTGAAAATCGCCCCAGAAGTCTCTCATAGACTCTCATGTAAAATCTTTTTTTTTCAAATATCAGAGCTTTCAATACAATCTCTATGGGTTCCGGGAGGGCTTGCACTTACGCGCTTTCGTCATACGTAACATAACCATGAACGTAACTAAGAAAAGAGCGGGTAGCAGCGTCAATCAATTCACGTACTACTGTCAAGATGGCTAGCGTTCAGTGCAACTCGATTGTCTCTTTGAAAGAAGTTCCTTTTTGTCGGCGAACAAATCAAGATAAATTGGCAACGAAACAATTAGGACCTCCCAGACCAAATTTAATAATTCAACAGGTTTCTACTAAAGGGGGAAAGTCCTACACCCGAGGATTTTCCAAAAATTGGTACGAACGAAAAACCTGGCTAGCAGGCTGCGATGTAGCTAATGCAGTCTTCTGCTACCCCTGCTTACTCTTTCACCCTGAAGGCGGCACGGCAGACAGCACCGCTTGGACAGCGACTGGTGTAACGGACATGCACCATCTTTCAGAAAAGATTAAGAAACATGAGCTGTCAAAGACCCACATGGATAGCTGTTTGAGATTGTCTGCTTTGGGGAGAGTGAACATTGCCACTCAACTGGATGAGGGATACAGGCTAGCTGTCCGCCGCCACAATGATGAGGTTAGCAAGAACCGCCACATCCTCAGCCGGCTAATCCAGTGTGTGAAGTTTTGCGGAGTGTTTGAGTTAGCTTTGCGAGGCAAAGATGAAACTGAGGGCTCCACCAACCCTGGTATTTTTCTTGGACTTGTCAACTTTGTGGCACAATTAGATGAGGTGTTTGATGACCATCTTAAAAATGCTAAAGTTTTCAAGGGCACATCAAAGACCATTCAAAACGAGCTACTGGAGTGTATGCTAGCGGTCATGAGGGAACATATTGTGGAGGAGGTGAAGTCGGCGAACTTCGTAGCTATCCAATCTGACGAGACCACGGACGTTTCTACACAGACACAGCTGGTGCTTGTGCTGATAGCACGTATTTTCATTTAAACGTCACTCACTGACGTTTTCCTAAACAGAAAATAACAGATTGACCTGCTCTGCCTCTGATTGGCTAGTACTCGTTGCCATCTGGGTCAGAGCCAATTAGAAGCAGGATGTGGGTGGGAAAAAACTCTGCTGTCTCCTGTGTGTATGGGGAAAGGGGAGGGACAGAGGGAACAGGCAAGACTGCTTGACAACTTACTATGGAGCTGGGAACAAGCCCAAATAAGCAACTACACTTTAGAAACAAGCCCAAAAAAAACGTGACCCGCGACTACCAATATTTGTAAGCGACTTCACAGAAAAACAAGCCCAAAGTCGCTTATAATAAGCGGACTTGGCAACACTGATCCACTTCTCTCAACAATTTGTCTACTTGTTATTGCCATGCTGTTACTATTTATTGTGTAAGTGTGGATTTCTATTTTACTCTTAAACATTATTTGGCTGCACTACCATTGAAATGTTGTAAATGTGGTAAAAGCTCTTGTTGATCCTGCAATCTGAACAAATACCAAGATGCTGTATTTTCAGCTGATATTTCATTTGTTTATGGAAATGCATATTGTTTATGCAGTGTTGAGGAATGTGAAAGAACACCCTTGATTATTTTTACTGTGATAACTTATTTTGCTTTTGTAAGCCAACACTTTTGAGATCAGTCAATAAATGTGTCACGATCGTCAAAAGGAGCAGACCAAAGCGCAGCGTGTTGAGCGAACATCGTAGACTTTATTTAATTAAAGAAACCACGATAAAAACAACAAACCAAAAATGACGAAAGTGAAGTCCAAATCTGACACTGACTAAACAGGATCAAGGAAACAAAAACCCACAAAACCCAGGTGAAACCACACAGTATAAATATGGCTCCCAATCAGAGATAACGAGCCGACAGCTGACACTCGTTACCTCCGATTGGGAGTCATATGACTAATAAAGAACAATTAACCCAAACATAGAAATGCACAACCAGAAATCCCCAACATAGAAATACACCCAAACAAAGAAAATGAACAACCCTGGCTCAATCATAAAGTCCATGGAGCCAGAGTGTCACAGTACCCCCCCCTAAAGGTGCGCACTCCGGGCGCACCAGCATACAGTCTAGGGGAGGGTCTGGGTGGGCGTCTGTCCATGGTGGCGGTTCTGGTCCAGGTCGTGGTCCCCACCCCACCTTAGTCACTTTCCGCTTCCGTAGCCCCTTCCACATGACCACCCCCCAACTAAACCCCACTGGATTAAGGGGCGGCACCGGACTAAGGGGCAGCACCGGACTAAGGGGCAGCACCGGACTAAGGGGCAGCACCGGACTAAGGGGCAGCACCGGACTAAGGAGCAGCACCGGGCTAAGGGACAGTACCTGACTGAGGGGCAGCACCGGACTGAATGGCGGATCCTGGCTGGCTGGCTCTGGCGGATCCTGGCTGGACGGCTCTGGCGGATCCTGGCTGGACGGCTCTGGCGGATCCTGGCTGGACGGCTCTGGCGGATCCTGGCTGGCGGAAGGCTCTGGCTGATCCTGTCTGGCAGAAGGCTCTGGCTGATCCTGTCTGGCAGAAGGCTCTGGCTGATCCTGTCTGGCAGAAGGCTCTGGCTGATCCTGTCTGGCGGAAGGCTCTGGCTGATCCTGTCTGGCGGAAGGCTCTGGCTGATCCTGTCTGGCGGAAGGCTCTGGCTGATCCTGTCTGGCGGAAGGCTCTGGCTGATCCTGTCTGGCGGACGGCTCTGGCTGCTCCTGTCTGGCGGAAGGCTCTGGCTGATCCTGTCTGGCGGAAGGCTCTGGCTGCTCCTGTCTGGCGGAGAGCTCTAGCGGCTCCGGTCTGGCGGACGGCTCTGAAGGCTCATGGCAGACGGGCGGCTTTGCAGGCTCAGTACCGACGGGCAGCTCCTGCGGCGCTTGGCAGACGGACAGTTCAGACGGCGTTGGGCAGACGGGCAGTTCAGGCGCCGTTGGGCAGACGGGCAGTTCAGACGGCGTTGGGCAGACGGACAGTTCAGGCCCCGTTGGGCAGACGGCAGACTCTGGCCGTCTGAGGCGCATCGTAGGCCTGGTGCGTGGTGCCGGAACAGGAGGTACCGGGCTGAGGACACGCATCTCAGGGCTAGTGCGGGGAGAAGCAACAGGGCATGCTTGGCCCTGGGGACGCACCGTAGGCCTGATGCGTGGTGCCGGAACTGGAGGTACCGGGCTGAGGACACGCATCTCAGGGCTAGTGCGGGAAGCAGCAACAGGGCATGCTTGGCCCTGGGGACGCACATAAGGCCTAGTGCGGAGAGCAGCAACAGGGCATGCTGGACCCTGGGGACGCACATGAGGCCTAGTGCGGAGAGCAGGAACAGGCCGGGCTGGGCTGGCGACGCGCACCGTATCTCTGGTGCGAGAGGCCGGAACAGGCCGGGCCGGGCTGGCGAAGCGCACCGTATCCCTGGTGCGTGGAGTAGGAACAGGCCGGGCTGGGCTGGCGACGCGCACCGTAGGCTTCGTATGAGGCTCAGGAACAGGCCGGGCTGGGCTGGCGACGCGCACCGTACACTTGGTGCGGGTGGCAGGAACAGGCCGAACCGGGCTGGCGACGCGCACCGTACACTTAGTGCGAGGGGCCGGAACAGGCCGTACCGTACGGGGAACACACACTACTGGCTGTACCTCGGGATTAGGAACGGGCCGGACCGGACTGGTTACACACCCCAGTACCTCTCGCCGAGCCTCTACACCTTCCTTCCCTGCTTTACCCAGTAGCCCCCTTAACCTGGTAGCCTCCTGAATCCGTCCCTTCTCTGCCTCCGTCAGCCCCCTTAACCTGGTAGCCTTCTGCTGCTCAGTCGCCCAAGCCATGTGCCCCCCCCAAAAAATTTATTGGGGTTGCCTCTCGTCCTTCCGACGTTGGCTCTGCCGACGCCGTTGCTCCTCTCGCCGTCGCCTCTCCACCGTCTCGCTCCATGGACGGCGATCCATACCCTCCAGGATCTCCTCCCAAGTCCAGGACCCTTTACCGTCCAACAGTTCCTTCCATGTCCAGACCCTTTGCTCCTGGACGCGCTGCTTGGTCCTTTTATGGTGGGTTTTTCTGTCACGTTCGCCAATGAAGTATGACCAAAGCGCAGCGTGTTGAGCGAACATCGTAGACATTATTTAATTAAAGAAACCACGATAAAAACAACAAACCAAAAATGACGAAAGTGAAGTCCAAATCTGACACTGACTAAACAGGATCAAGGAAACAAAAACCCACAAAACCCAGGTGAAACCACACAGTATAAATATGGCTCCCAATCAGAGATAACGAGCCGACAGCTGACACTCGTTACCTCCGATTGGGAGTCATATGACTAATAAAGAACAATTAACCCAAACATAGAAATGCACAACCAGAAATCCCCAACATAGAAATACACCCAAACAAAGAAAATGAACAACCCTGGCTCAATCATAAAGTCCATGGAGCCAGAGTGTCACAAAATGCTTCTGGTATTGACTTATATGCTGCCCCTGTCTTCATGTTGTTGCTGGACATATCTTTTTTAAAATGTGTGTAGGTCACCTAAATCATCAGAAAAATTGCCCCCCCTGAGAATTTTTTCAGGAGCCGCCACTGAGCGTGGGCACCCAAATAAATTCTGATTATCATTCGGAAAATTCCTTCCTGGATCAGATGATGATGTGTGAAAATATCACGGCATAACAAATCAGTTGGACACCAAATGCGCATCCAACAAGTATTATGCATAATTATTGAAGAACCACATTAATGACAGTATCGATTTAGGTTTTAAGGATCAAGGTAAGGTGACTCTTTCGGTTAGAAGCATTCGATTTTGCAATCACATTTATTATTTGGGATTTGTGTGCCCAGGAAAACTGTTTTCACCACGTAACATAAGGACACCAACCATGATAAGGGGTTAAACATAGCTTTTAAATCAACTCGTGAACTTTATTGAATATACAGTTGAAGTCAGAAGTTTACATACTCTTAGGTTGGAGTCATTAAAACTCGTTTTTCAACCACTCCACACATTTCTTGTTAACAAACTATAGTTTTGGCAAGTCGGTTAGGACATCTACTTTGTGCATGACACAAGTACTTTTTCCAACAATTGTTTAGAGACAGATTATTTCACTTATATATAATTCACTGTATCACAATTCCAGTGGGTCAGAGGTTTACATACACTAAGTTGACTGTGCCTTTAAACAGCTTGGAAAATTGCAGAAAATGATGTCATGGCTTTAGAAGCTTCTGACTAATCATTTGAGTCAATTGGAGGTGTACCTGTGGATGTATTTCAAGGCCTACCTTCAAACTCAGTGCCTCTTTGCTTGACATCATGGGAAAATCAAAAGAAATCAGCCAAGAACTCAGAAAAATAATTGTAGACCTCCACAAGTCTGGTTCATCCTTGGGAGCAATTTCCAAACGCCTGAAGGTACCACGTTCATCTATACAAACAATAGTACGCAAGTATAAACACCATGGGACCACGCAGCCGTCATACCACTCAGGAAGGAGACGCGTTCTGTCTCCTAGAGATGAACGTAGTTTGGTGCGAAACTGCAAATCAATCCCAGAACAACAGCAAAGGACCTTGTGAAGATGCTGGAGGAAACAGGTACAAAAGTCTATATCCACAGTAAAACTAGTCCTATATCGACATAACTTGAAAGGCCGCTCAGCAAGGAAGAAGCCACTGCTCCAAAACCAAACAGCCAGACTACGGTTTGCAACTGCACATGGGGATAAAGATCATACTTTTTGGAGAAATGTCCTCTGGTCTGATTAAACAAAAATAGAACTGTTTGGCCATAATGACCATCATTATGTTTGGAGGAAAAAGGGGGCAGCTTGCAAGCCGAAGAACACCATCCCAACCGTGAAGCACGGGGGTGGCAGCATCATGCTGTGGGGGTGCTTTGCTGCAGGAGGGACTGGTGCACTTCACAAAATGATGGCATCATGAGGAAGGAAAATTATGTGGATATATTGAAGCAACATCTCAAGACATCAGTTAGGAAGTTAAAGCTTGGTCGCAAATGGACAATGACCCCAAGCATACTTCCAAAGTTGTGGCAAAATGGCTTAAGGACAACAAAGTCAAGGTATTGGAGTGGCCATCACAAAGCCCTGACCTCAATCCTATAGAAAGGTTGTGGGCAGAAATGAAAAAGCGTGTGCGAGCAAGGAGGCCTACAAACCTGACTCAGTTACACCAGCTCTGTCAGAAGGAATGGGCCAAAATTCACCCAACTTATTGTGGGAAGCTTGTGGAAGGCTACCCGAAATGTTTGACCCAAGTTAAACAATTTAAAGGCAATGCTACCAAATACTAATTGAGTGTATGTAAACTTCTGACCCACTGGGAATGTGATGAAAGAAATAAAAGCTGAAAGAAATAATTCTCTACTATTGTGATGAGGTGTGAATGAAGGAGTCAGGCGCAGGAGGTAAAATACCGAAGTCCAGAGTTTATTCCGTTTGCATAAATCAAACGCCCCAAGCGTCAAACGAAACTATTACAAGGGAAAACATCCACCTTGGCATAAACACAGTGAATAGTAGCTCAACCGAGCTACACGCTCTCACAACAAACAATCACTCACAAAGACAAGGGGAACAGAGGGAACACTTATACACATACTAATTAGGGGAATGAGCACCAGGTGTGTGTGATTGACAAGACATGACAAGTGGAGTGATGAGAATGGGATCGGCAGTAGCTAGTACTCCGGTGACGACGAACGCCGAAGCCTGCCCGAACCAGGAGGGGGGGCAGCCTCGGCGAAAGTCGTGACAACTATTATTCTGACATTTCACATTCTTAAAATAAAGTGGTGATCCTAACTGACCTAAAACAGGGAATATTTTCTACGATTAAATGTCAGGAATTGTGAAAAACTGAGTTTAAATGTATTTGGCTAAGGTGTATGTAAACTTCCAATTTCAACTGTAGCTATGATCCTCCCTTATATCTTAATGTAATGAAATTAATTTTTTTTGTAGATTAATATCAATGACTTCTCAACAGCTGTAACAAGTTGTCCAGCGTAAGAAATCCTCACAGGTACCCTAGTTTATAGAAAGACCCCCATGCTACCGATTAATCTACAGCCATCAACAAACTGAGGTCCTGCACATCTAATATGCTTCCTTGTGTCTATCTTCAGAATAAACACCAATCAACTGGGATCGCTGGCTGGACAGTCCTTTGTTTAAAAGCACATCGCAAGAGTGTTATGAAGTACAATCACATCTGTTACATGTGCATGGCTAATTAATATAAGATTCTGTTTAGTATTAAAGGTATTTTGTAATATACGACCAGTCACCAATGATAATGCATCCGATAGTGCTGAGCGATTAACTGAAACTTCGGTTATTTTTTGGTTATTAAACAACTAATTGACTGACGTCGGTTCAATTATTTGAATTCCATTTTGTTAATTTTTTTTTTCTGTGAGCTCAATGCCGACATTGCTCAGTTTCTCAGGATATGAATCAGATCTAGCTTGAACTATGAGATGTAGTAGGGAGTTGTAGTTTCCAACAGGCCACTGGTCGGTCTTCAAGGCATTCCTAGTCGATCACCAAATATTTCTGTAGAAAAGCCAACGATAAAGGCTTGAGCTCCTTTTCTTTTATTCATGTTGCCAGTAGGTGCACTTGATTCAGAAGCCCTGTGCACCGGGTAGGCAAAGTGTCCCCATTTTGAACCATTTCACCTGTCTGAAAAGACAAACTCCGACTACTTGACGGGCCGGGAGATTTGTGACTAAGCTGATTTATGTTTGATCCGGAATGCTGTCCGGAGGCTCTATATGGAGGGTGTGACGCAATTGCGGAGCCTCTGGAGGCTTGCGGACGTCAAATCGAGCTCTACACTGCATCGCTGTGCACCTCCCAAATGTTGTAACAATGCAGAGGGTTCTGTATAGCTCGGTATAGCTCCGCATTGACATGATTGGTTGACAGTAGGTGGGGGCAGGAAATCCTGTATAAACACAAACTCACTTCCTTGACAACAGCTCTGCTCAACTGCGAAGTGCAATAAGTATGAATATCTTGACTTACACACAACAACTGAAAGTAAAGTAATGTGAATAAATTATGGTTAATAAGTGATAAGCAGTAATGGGCAGTCACTCCCATCATGGGACTTTTATTCATTGTTTATTCTGTGTTGTTACAACATTCAATTCACATAATGCATAGTTCATTTAATGTTTCAAAAAAATATTTGAAACTGAAATAAAAAAACTTCATAATTTTGTATGAATCGAACCAAAACCGAACCGACCTCAAAAAACACTAAACGCTCAGCACTAGCATCCAGCAATTTGGGAAAAAACACTCATGATTTCCCTTTGGATCCATCTGCACCTGTGTTTGTGTGTGTGTGTGTGTATGTGTGTGTGTATGTGAATGTGTATGTGTGTGTGTATGTGTATGTGTATGTGTATGTGTGTGTGTGTGTGTGTGTGTGTGTGTGTGTGAGTGACTTACAGGAGGGCATCAGCCTGAGCGTTAAACAGAGCTATAGGAAGTATGAAAAATCGGGTGGAAGAACAAAGCGATCACACTTCTGCCTTTGTGTGGGAAGCCTGTTTCTGCCTGTGCTGTGAGCATTTGATTTGGGCTAATTACAAACCCAGCAGCAACTTGCGGGGGAGTAGCTGAGCTCATGTGAGAGCTGTGGACCAGGAATGCCCTGTCAGAGCCCCTCTACCTGAGCTCTGTGAGTAGCATGAGGAGCAGGGGAATGACTTCACCCCCTAAAACATCCCCATGGTCTGCCACAGACCACACTGGTACACAGGCAACAACACAGGGCAGAGGAGAGACAGACCCAACCCCTCAGAAAACCAGCTTCTCAAAGCTGCACACCTGCAACGCTACAAGGTATTTAAGGATGAAATTAAACCACAAATTTAGACTAAGCCTAACAATAACACTCATTACATACAGTGCATTCAGAGTATTCATACCCAATGTTCCCTCTAAGTTGCGTGTGTGGGCAGAAGAAATATCAGCCCGCGCAGAGGTGTGCCAAGCTTGTAGCGTCATACCCAAGAAGACTCGAGGCTGTAATCGCTGCCAAAGGTGCTTCAACAAAGTACTAAGTAAAGGGTCTGAATACTTATGTAAACGTGATATTTCAGTTTGAAATGTTTTATAAATGTGCAAAAATGTCTAAAAACCTGTTCTTGCATTGTCATTATGGGGTATTGTGTGTAGATTGATGAGGGGGAAAACAACTATTTAATTCATTTTAGAATAAGGCTGTAACGTAACAAAATGTGGAAAAAGTCAAGGGGTGTGAATACTTTCCAAATGTACTGTACATAAGTATTCACACCCTTTTGCTAAGACACTCCAAATTGAGCTCAGGTGCATCCAATTTCCTTTGCTCATCCTTGAGATTTCCCTACAACTTGGTTGGAGTCCACCTGTGGCCAATTCAATTGTTTGTACATGATTTAGAAAGAAATACACCTGTCTATATAAGGTCCCACAGTTGACAGTGTATGTCAGAGCAGAAACTATACCATGAAGTCCATGGAACTGTCTGTAGATCTCCGAGATAAAATTGTGATGAGGCATATATCTGGGTAAGGGTATAAAACCATTTCTAGAGTGTTGAAAGTTTCCAAAAGCACAGTGGTCTCCATCGTTGGAAATTGAAAAAATATGGAACTACCCAGAATCTGTGGAAAGACTTGAAGATTGTTGTTCACCGCCGCTCCTCATCTAACTTAACAGAGCTTGAGAAATTCTGCAAGGATAAATGGAAGAAAATTCCCAAACCCAGATGTGCAAAGCTGATAAAGATGTACCCAAGACGACTCAAAGCTGTAATCGCCGCCAAAGGTGCTTCTACAAAGTATTGAATACTTATGTAAATGAGATATTTCTGTATTTAATTTTCAATAAATGTGCAAAAATTATCTGAAAACATGTTTTCACTTTGTTATTATAGGGTATTGTGTGTAGATGGGTGAGATTTTATTTTATTTTATCCATTTTGAATTCAAACTGCACTGTTAAATAAATGACACCATCTAAACTATCTTAAAACACACACACCGCCTCAGGTGTACTGAGCAGCTCAAGACTCAGCATGCTTTATTAGAGAGTCCAAACCACATTCCTGCTGCCAGTGTAACAAGAGACTTAGTGAAAAGGAGAAATAGAAACAAACATTTGATATTGGTCCTTCAGAAAGAAAACATGCACCTAGCTGACAGCTGTTGACCCAGTAGTTCCTGACACTCCTAGAGACCCTCTCTGTAGGAAATGACATTGAGGAAACAAGATGTGCTTGTATCAGTCATCAATCAGAGGAGAGGTGCATGGCGGTGCTGTGGCCAACCCAGTCTAGGTCATTATGTTTTTGTTTTTTCCCTGATTGTGTTATACCTGACCTGCACGCATCCTGCCTCACTTCACTTCCTGGGCCAGGCCAGATGTTTCGCTCCCAATCGCAAACTATTTCCTCACACCATGAGGCAGCTCATTCTGTACGTTTGATGTCATCATTATTACTTGAAGGAGTTGGGAGGATTCCCGGCCCGCCATGTTATGGGTGAATGAAAAGCTATTTGAGGAGCCCTCTGCCAAGATTACGTGAAACATGCTTCAATGGAAGACGTAAAAAATCAGTATCAAATGATATACCATGCCATTTTAATGAAATCAGTATCTGCCACGATAGGGAGGGAGGGCCACATTATCGTCATGATGATGAGGAACAAAGACAGCAATGAGAAATGATTGAATTAGTGGAAACACATTTATTGAATTTGCTCTTGCCTTTGACCATCCAATATAGAAACACAGGCTTGTGTCTCATGTTGCCACTCACACACAGACATGTGTTCCTGAAATCTATGGATTAGGCTCATAATATGAGACTGGCTGGTGGCTCTTAGAGAGCTGTGAATAGGACTACACGGCTAACACCCGACTGAACAACTAACAACTAATTACTAACTGAACTGTCCACAAACTCATTAGACCCTAGACATTTGAGTACTTGATGATCAAATAAAATAAAATTTTATTGGCCACATGCGCCGAATACACCAGGTGTAGACATTACAGTGAAATGCTTACTTACAGCCCTTAACCAACAGTGCATTTATTTTTTTATTAAAAAAAGTAAAATAAAACAACAACAGAAAAGTGTTGAGAAAAAAAGAGCAGAATTAAAATAAAATAACAGTAGGGAGGCTATATATACAGGGGGGAACCGGTGCAGTTATCATGTGAGACCAAATAATTACGTTTACCACTCAGCAAATTAAATTACAAAAGTCTGAGCGCCATACTAAGGGGACGTGTGTGTGCATGCGTGTGATGGGTGATGTAAAGTTGTATAGTAGCATACGTCGTTGTCATAACAAATTAAAATACACTCTACGCTTTCACCCCTCAGTTACAGTACACTGCAGGTTGTGAGATCTGGATGGAGACAAGGCCTGGTCCTAACTGTCTTAACCCAATCCCAGCAAGGCCTGCTTCTACTTTACAGCATTATCATTGTAAATCAAAACTCTGGCGGATCTCAGAGGACCTTAAACACACATGACAATCTGTGCTCAAACACCTGATGAAAGCCCTGGGATGATTAGCAGGGAATCGTTCCGAGCCAGAAGCACGGCTTGGCAGTGACTGTTTTCGTTCATCATTCCCCATTTGTGGGAGAGAATTAGAAGTTATCACGTTTGGGAAATCACTAATCACTGTAACAGTCTAGTCCTGCTTGGTAGAAAAACACATATTGTACCCATTCCAAAGCATTACACTGAATGCCTACAATTATTTTGACAAGGGGTTGTTATATAATGTATCTTCAAACCCATTTCAGCACTACGACACAGGTATAACACGTCTTGTAAAAAGTGACAGGCAATGTAATTGGCTGCTCCTGCCGTGTCCTTTGACAATAATAAGAGAGGGCTCAGGGGCCAATTAGGGGCCATCCATGCTGATAGTACTGCCCAATCAAAACAAAGGACAGAACCAGGAACTGTTCAGTACAGTCTAAAGGGGTGAAAAACAAACAAAAAACATCTCAGATGTCACAGGCATTTGCTGACGCAGAATCCCGTAAATCGTGTTGTTAATAGCTCTCAATGACATAATCCTGCCAAGCAAAATGGTATGCATTCTTTGAAGAGGGGGGTATAGTAACCGATGCTTCCGTTGTGACATTCTGCAATGCGGCTTTGTTATGCTGCCAGGAACAGCCAGATACTAGGGGGTCTCTCAAAACAGATCACTTCCTATCAGCCTAGTATTTCTCAATCTGTTGTTTCTGCTAGTGGTGCCTGTCGGAAACAGCAGCCCGCTAGGCTAGGCCCCAGACAGCGCCTGTTCATCTGATGGTCCCAGACCCACTCCACCACCACCCACCTCCACCCACCACCACCTTCCACCCTGACCCAGATCCCCTGGGGCTGTTTACATCTCAAACTAACCCCTTAATCATCACAGGCCTACTGCACAATGTCAACCTGGAAAACATGCAAAGTGTAACCATAGTTCAATACAATACAGGGCATACTGTAGCATCTTCCAAAATGCTGTCTCATCACTGCTAATCGACACTAAATATATCATAAGTTAGTCAGTTAGAGACTAATGCATTTCAATAGCAGAATATTGTTTCGTTGGACTTGGAGTGCCAGGTGGCCTGGAAAGAAGCACAGGGTTTATATACAAAAAAGTTTTATACAGCTCTCTCAGCACTTTGAGAGACTGAGTTCCACACAACTGTTTTGCCCTGGCTATAATCATTTTTCATCAAGATTTGTTTGAAAATACCGTACTCAGAACCCACATCTAATGGCCTGGCTTTGGCTATTGGCAGAAAGCTTAATGCAGAAAATAGACCAATATGAAGACTGTCTGGATGTTGGAAAAAGCCATTTGGCTTTGCATCGACTGTCTAAACAAGCTTGTCTGATTGCAGGCAGAAAGAAGTGTCTGGCATGGCCGTCCCAGTCTGGGTCTCACCACCACAGCACACAGCTCAGCGCACGAAGCCCAACACTCAGCCACACTACGTCCTGTACAGCCCTTATATTTAGCCTCGCATGGAACATGACCCCTAGAAAGAAGAGTGGCATGCCCCCAGGTCCAATCTATAATGCTACAACTAATTTATTTTTTATTTTATTTTACCTTTATTTAACTAGGCAAGTCAGTTAATAACAAATTCTTATTTACAATGACAGCCTACAGCAGCCAAACCCGGACGACGCTGTGCCAATTGTGCGCCGCTCTATGGGACTCCCAATCACAGCCGGTTGTGATACAGCCTGGAATCGAACCAGGGGGTCTGTAGTGACGCCTCAAGCACTGAGATGCAGTGCCTTAGACCGCTGCGCAACTCGGGAGCCCCAGAACAATAGCTCACTCTATTATGGCAAAAATAACCCAGTGATATTTTTTGTCTTTATTTACACAAAATGTTTAATGGCTAACTTTTAACCTCTTTCTAAAAGTGATCCTCGTCCAAAATGCTCTTATTGCATAACAGTCGCTCGCAATTAGCAGCAATTTGAAGGCTAGTTGGCAAATAGGAAAGTAAATGATAGTCATTAAAGATCAAGTGGAAATCCAAGTATGTTCATCTCATTAGGAGAAAATATAAGAGAGAGAACTTCACTTCACTGCTGAAGATTGAATATGTAGATCATCAGACTAATTTGGAGGAACAACAGAAACATGGCAAATTGTTATTGAATTGCACATATTGTGGCTTCAACAGTGAGAACATTGTAGTACTCAGTCATTGAAAACACCCTTTATTTGGCAATCGAAGTAGAGACGATTTATGGGTGTATTGTGAAACTGTGGAGGCGGAAGAAATGCACACCTTGTTAGGCGAGGTGCTGGCTAGCGGAGTAGAACACTATAAAAAGAAAAGGAGAGCCGCACACTCTAGGAGCTCAGATGCAATAATTGAATACCATAATTTTATGTATTGTGATAATGAACTTGAACAGTCAACTAAGAAAGTCTTTACTGTAATATTTGAAAACATACAGTAGATACTGTGTTGCAACAAGAAATGTTTTAGACACAGCCAAACAACATGAACATTATGCTTTTACACGCATCTCCACAAATTCCAAAGCAGCAATAAAGGGAAAGGAATTTGGACAGAGAAAGCATGTGATATAATTCTAGAGCATCTGGCCAACAGAGTTTTTCAACAACAAAATATCTCTGAAACAATGAAGCACTTTAGAATGGGCATTACAGAGCCTGTCAACATTGTTAAAAGGTTCTCAAGTTTCAACAGATGGTACTTCAGGTGAAGTGCAGAGAGCATTCACAGACTGTAACATGGACGGCATAGAGTGTCCTCATAGAGTGCAGTGTATAACTTGAAACAGGGCCCTGTCGGTGTCATTCAAGTACCTAACATGATGCTCGACTAAGTCAGTGTTTTAGTATTTGAAACCCTGTTGAGTAATGAATGACCATAATGTTCCAGGAACGGAACAATTGTGAAACTAGAACACAGAGGAACCTTTCCAGACTGTCCGTCAAGATGCTATCATCTTTCTGCACAATGCAATCCTCTGAACCTCTCCATCAAAATAGGATTTCATATCAGACAATAATTCACATTACAAGGTTTGATCAGCACACAGGAATTCAAACTTGGCATTTTCAGAAACAATGTTATTTTTTCATTATGGAAGTTTACCTTAGATTTGATTCAATCGGGTTTGCTCGAATTCTACCCCATCTCCATCAACCCACATGTTATAAGAAAACTGATACATATGCCTCTTATTTGTCTGGAAATTCAATGTAGATTCAATTGGGTGGTTTGAGAAGCAGTGAGAAGAGAGGTGGCTGGGAGTTGTGAAAGCATTAATCCTTTATTACTCACACAGAATAGCAGCACAGCTGCCACCACAGTAGTCAGACACAGCTCCAGAGGCAGATCCCATTTCTCTGGCTTTATTTCTAGAGCCCATATGCAGCGGGTGCATTGAAGTCTCTCTGTGCTCCTTTCAATAAGACCTCAAAGCTTGACACTGAACAGACTATAATAAATATAATACCCTGACAGCGCTGGGGTTATTTCATATTGTTGTTACTTATTTCTCATGGCAACATGAACAATTCAGTGAGCGGTGGAAACGTTGGTGTTCATTGGAAAACCTAAAATAACTCAGAAGTCTCTGTCACATCAAAGCCTGACCTATAATTATAGCCTCTGTGAAAGTTTAATCTGTGGTGGTCAGTCGTGTAAGCCGGGCCCTACAGAACGGTTGGGTTGTGGTGTGAACTGAAGGCTTGGAGAGAAAAAGCCATTGGCCTGTTTTCAGAACTGGCACTGAGCTGTTGCTCCTCCACCGCAGCTTCTCTGTATGTCAACCAAACATTACACCTTCTTCCAAAAATGTCATAAAACCTTATCAGTTGTTCCTTTGAAGACAGGCATTAGCAATTCATCTTTATTGACATCTGCCTCACTCTTACATAACGGGATGTAAGGAGACAATGTCCTCATTATCAATTTATCATGTACTAATATTTTACCAGATACATGTGGATTCAATCAGGAGTGAGGACACGGGGGACGCGGGAGCTTTCTCTAGTGAGCTCTCATTACGACATTATCCAAAACACTTTTTTATGGGAGCAGCAATAGAGCAGTTGAGGAAGCTAACAGAGTTTTATTGGAGTTTCTCCCTCTCCTGGCTGGAGATCGGCACCACATTAAAAAGCACCAACAAACTGTTGAAATAAATGACACATCGCTATGCAGATAGAAGTTGTACCACTGACCTCCATGTTGGAAGCAGCCTGAACAGTGCTGCTGAACATCCACCATGGCTGCACATCAGAGCAAAAACCTTCATCTCTCCCCTGTAATCCACACGCATGCTCAAACTTCGGACGACTACAATTCAAGTAACAAATCTTACAACACGTCTTTGTAAGTTTTTCCTATGTTTTGATGAAACCCTAACCAACCCTGTCTCCTGAAACTAGATGCAACTCTGAGGTATTTTCTCTGGAGTACATGCAAGCAACATTAGTGCTGTTGTTTGTCCCATCTCATAAGAGAAAAACACCTGGTTAGCGGATATACAGTGTTCTAACCACAGAACAGGGGAGAGTTCTCGGTCTTCTCGTTACACAGTTGCACAGGGCCAAACATCAGTGAACAATTAAAACCCAGATTGGCCTATTGTGTTTGATAGCATCTCTAGTCATTATGGTTTGGCTAATTGTGGCTCCAAGCAGATTATTTTCCCCTCATGAAAATCTGGGTGCGTCACAGAGTGAATCGCACCAGCCGTAGCTGGATTAAATCATGTTCCCCCTGTCTAGCCTTCCAGGAATCATGTTGGTAGCAGCCATGG